ATAAATAAGATTATCTACATGTATTTTTCTCCTTTACTTAAGAGTCGATTGCCTTTTGCTATACTAGGTTTGATGAACGAAGAGTTACAAATTAATTATTCTATTGATAGATTATTAGATACAATCGTCATTAGTACGTTTTGATATTAAGAAAATAAGTATGAATACGATTCATATCTATTAGCATTCAACCATTGACACTTCGTAAGTTAATGCAAACGTGTTTCTTATTCTTCTTTTTTTTCAAAGAAAATCAGAATAGTCACATGAATGAGTAAAATCACTTACTTTTTGTTGATTTCATGAAAAAATGTTGACTTCATGTCTTAAAAAAATTGCTGTTTCAGATTGTGATTCGTTCAATTGAATGTCACAATTAAAAGTATAATCTTAAAAACATTGCTCTCAGTAAATATATTGATAATTTCTTCTCAGGCGAAAAGTCACGATAGAGATTAAGGTTAAGCAATCTAATTAATCAACTTCAAGTTCTTGAAATAGCATTATTTAATTATACTTTTATATGACGAAATATGTGGCAGGGAGCAATGAGAATTTAATTTCAGGAATAAAAAATGTCTTATTGATTATAATCTGTCTACGAGGAGTATTTGAAATATTAAATATCTAGAGTTAATGAAAAACTCATAACTTTGTCCAAGGCTTTAATTTTTGTCTAAAAATTTGGGTCGATATTTTAAAAGATTTTCCGATCGTTTATGCAACGCTTCCCAGTTAATTTGCGTCTGCTTTGATGAATATATCTTACATGAGCACTCACTATTGAAATATGCACAAGACAACTAGCATAGAAAAACGAGGATAGCTTATCTTATCATATATTTTATGGTTTACATCCGTAGTAACAAAGAGAAAAGGTTAGGAGAGTTATATTGATGATTAAACTATCTAGATCATTATTTTAAGTTTTCTCCTTTCTATTTACTTGTAACTGAGTCATCAAAACTTGAGATAATTAAAAAAGAAACTATTGTTTATCACCTACGCTGTTATTTGAAGAACACCCCAGGTCGTTCATTCCTACAACGGGATCCAATCTGATCTGAAAACGAGTTACCTCGGATTTTGTATGAAAACCCACTAGAATCGACGGATTTCGGGTTTCGGACCGAGATTCGGATCCATAGGATCGGAACCCGATACATATCCGATTGTATCCTACTCTGGGATCCGATACGCCAAAAAAATTCTCCTATAGCCAACCTCTAAAAAGCTTTTTAGCACTAAATAGAATTTTGATAATTTTTTAAAATTCTCCCGTCGAATCCGTCAATAATTCCGAGACCTAGAATCCAATTGAATTTCCTCGGTTAGTAGGATGTTATAGGATCCAATAGAATTCGTCGTTGGATTAGTCGACCTGGGAGTTGCATAAGTCAATGACACTATAGTCCTGTGTCTGAACTGATATATTAAGCAATGTTTCCTGTCTCAAATTAAGAACAAAAAAATGAATAAATTAGAAAGTGCATTGCGATTTAATATTTAACATTTAATTGTAAAAACGAGCGCGTCGCTCCCGATATCTTCTTAGCAATGAGCCATTGAATTCTCAAAATAGCAAAAAAGAAATAATTAGTTGTGCTTATAGAACAATTTATTATTTATTATTTTGACCTTCTCATCATAGTTGTAAAAAAGCATGCAACATGAAATATTTTACTCTTATAACTTTCATCAAGAGTACTGTGTCACTTCAATTTACTTATGAATGATTATTCTTGTAGAAATGAAAACACTCGTCAGAAATGATTTTCTATCATAAGTTGACAGAAGCTTAAAAGTAACGATGTTGTTACTTATGCTTCTCAAGCATACTTTTAAATCTATAAAAGCTCTTCGTTTCCTATCGAAAACTGCTAATGCGCATTTTGTTTGCTTATTACACGCTCATATACTTATATGATGAAGAATCGTACATATTTAAAACACCTCTAAAAATATCTCTTGGAAGTAAATAAAATGTGTAGCATACTAAGAAATTTTGTAGAAACAAAATCGATGGAATATCAAAGTTTAAGTATTCGATGTTTCATGTACTTCGCTATGTATAATATTTCACTATAAAATATATGACTACAACAAAATTTCTCGATAATTGATCAAATATTCAGTATTGTATGTAACTTACCCAACGCTGAAGAGGACCAAAAATTAATAGAAGAATACCGATGGATGCATAAAGAAACTAATTATATTTTTACAACATAGAAAAAAACAATATATGACTGCCCATGTAGTCAATAATGGATGAATAATGAAAAAATGACCTATTATTGTCCATTATTTAAAAAAAATGAATTAATGCATGATAATTAATTCTTTTTTGACTCCTCAATGCATTTTAATGCATTATTCCAAATAATGGTGAAAATCAACGATAATGCCTAAATTTTCAGTGCATTACAATGCATTATTTCTAATAATGCGAAACTGGTTTGAAAATGGAGTAAAATTGCCATGCACTACAATGCATTTAAAGTATTATTTAGAGTAATGCTTTTAAATTAGAAAATTTACGATTTTCGTACAAAACATATTGAAAAAGTGATTTGGCAGGTAGATGCTTGATTTGCCACAGCTTTCTGTGCGCCAAGCGCTTTTCAATAAAAATCGCACAAGTTAAAGATCTAATAAAAAGTGTAACCTGAGTTACATCGCTAAGAGTATTTTTCGAGTCTCTTTTCTCTGATAATGGAAACCTACATTATTGAAAACTTGACTCAAAATCTGATGACTTATATCAGATTATCCTTTCAGTTTCCAAAATATTTTTCCAGGCAAGTCGAAGAGTTTTCGAGTTTACTCAATCGCTAAAATGTGCACTAACAACCCGAAATCCGACCTCGGGTTTCTATTTGACGCAACGAAAGACTACTAGAGTTTTGAATGCTTTTAGAGTATTCTTTAGAATGAAAGAGATCACCATCCTTAAACCTCTCAAAAGAAGTTTTCACTCTTCATCATTGCTCAATTTCGGATGCATCTAGTGAACTAAAACTGCTCACAGTATCAATTATAACAGATTAGATCATGAATCATTTTGTTTTCCAAATCTCAAACCATTTTAATACTATTGAAGCAGCTTATGTCATATTTACGCTCTTCAACTGTTTTTGCTTTCAACATGAAATGCCTAATTCGAATTCGAATATAAATGGATACCCAATTGCATGGTATCAATTCCAAAATAAGTGATAGAAATGGATTTAGTTTTAGATTTAGTTTAAGATGGAGTGGGTGTGGGTTGAGGGGACTAATGGGGTAATTGTGGGTGGTGGTGCACGTGAGGGTATCCGAAAAGGGTGCGTGTGGGAGGGGGGTGCCCATTGTACTTCAAATGTGGTTATGGGTGATGGATACCATGGAGGAGTGCTCAAATGTGGGCGCTGGTGAAGAGTATATATGTATTCATATCATATGTCGCATATATCGGAAAGTTACACTAAAACTAAATCTAGGAATAGACTTAGTTTTAGTTTAACTTTTTCTTTTCTCCATTTGTATTCGAACTCGAATTAGATAGCTACTCACTTTCAACTACAATTCAACATGATCCAATTGGTAGGTTTGAATTCAATAATAAAAATTATTTATTCACATGTCTTTTGTTTTAGATTTTTATCGATTATGATCGAAACGGTAAGTTCGAATTTAATAATAATAAACTTATTTATTCATTTTTTTTTATTTTAGATTCTTACCGATATGATCAAGATGATACGTTATGGGATAGATATATATAAGAGGGTTGATGAAAGTTAAGGGTTAAGTTAAGTTAGAGAGAGATATTAAGTGTAACGGATAGATATAGATAAGTTAATAGATTAACGTTAAGGGGTTAAGTTAAGGGGATAGATGTGCAGAACCACAGAGATACAATTATGGTAATTGGGGTATCGATTTAATAGGATTTTACAGATCTTATTAGCATGTGCCGAATAGGAAATTTTCAATGCATTATAATGCATTAAATAGGTTGCATTATCATGTAATTACATACATTGCATTTCTATAGGAAAATAATGCATTGCAATGTCCATTATTTCCTAAAATCGGCTATATGAGTAGAAGTAATTATAGACTGGTATGCAACATACAAAGTTTTCCTCGACTATGGAGTAATCTGATATTTTCAAAAAGTGCGCCACTGTTAGAAAAGCACTGTGGTTTGCGAGTTCATATGATTATGGGCAATCCAGATGGTTGTGTAATAGTATTAAATGCCGCAAGTGCACCGAGAGCGTTCTTCTAATCAACATTTTTTTAATGTTTAACGCAGTCCTTGTGCATTATAAAACAGGAAAGCTATTTTTTTAACAAAATGATTGTTTCAAACAATATATTTCAAAGCAGATTTTAAATAAATTTAATTTCATTACAATGAGCGAATGAAAGGAGAGTTGCAATGGAACTATTTTAAAGGTGTATGAGCGATTGACAAATATGATTGCAGTTGCAACAATATCGAACATAATACTCCACAGAGGATTTAATTTCAAGTTCTATGCAATTAGGCAAGAACATATCTTGTAAAAAAGTGAAAAACTAATTAAATTCAATAGATATTGTTTATTTCATATATAAATCTGACGCATGTCCCATATTTTTGTGTATAAAAAGGCGAATCATGATCGTCTTTTCGCTTACTCGCACTTTACCATTGGCATCATCATGCACACTCCAGTTAGACCATATACACTGATTTTGGAGAAGTTTTTATCTTGTCATGGCATATTTTCTTTCTTAATTATATCGAGTTCAATAAATACGTTTTGTTTGGTTCATTAAAACTGTCGACTCCTAATTTAAATGAATTAGTATCAAAGTTTCTGAGTTTTCCACTCGGAACAATTCATCTGTCAATGTCAGTAGCTTTCAAAAAAAACACAACAAGTACATTCTACGTTTTGAATAAAGCTCGTAGACATTATTCTATAGTTTATTAGATATAATTAATCACAATATAAAAAAATTAATTATATCTGAAGAAATGTATCGAATCCCACATGGTTTCTAATACACATCAGGTAACATTGTGCGACTGACCACATTGTATATTCTTGATTATCTGTATTCAGCTTCATTTGTTCGGGAAAGTTATGTTTTATTTGTGCTAATTCTTTTTCTGCAGCTTCCGTTCTCAAATAATCATCCCATTGAGGCATTCGACTCAAAACCATAGGTAGAGGGAACCAATGAAGAGAACGAATTTCTTCATTTGTGGAAAAATCATTTTTTAAGTGATTGGCTTCTTCATTATTTAAAAACAATGGATAGATAACACTAGCATCAACAAAAAGGAAACGTTTGAGACGGGATCGGATTTTTTTTGTCACCTCTGTTTCATTGGTAATATATTCTAATGCTCTTGCAGCTGTATCTTTTTGAAGTTCATCTTTCTTACATGGATTCGATGATGGTAATGCTAATAATAACTGTTGGCTGGGCTTTGCTGCGTTTTTTTGCTGTTTTTGTCTAAGTAGTTTCGTAGCAAAGAGTAACCATGTCTCATCATTTTCTATTTTATAAATTAATAAATTAACCATTGTACACCCAGTTGGATTCGATTCCAACGATAGACCATTTATCTGATCACGCATAAATCGTTTAAAGACAGCATTTGGACTGTAATAGATGCCTAATTTGCCTCTTAGTTGACGACTTCGCATCGGACAATCATCGAATTCATGGTACCCGTTACAGTTGGGAGTCCAATAACAAGCATATTGTGGAGTAACAGTGCTCAAAGCGGTGCTACAACTGATACCACTGTCAGCACAACTGACACTACTACTTCTGCTGTTGTTCGACGCCATTATAAATGCGTGCAGACATCGTGCCTTTTATACGAGGTTTTTTTCTTCCTCCTTTTCATTCTATTTTTTACATTTTTACCCACTAAAATACCTTAAAACGTGCGTCATGATGCAAGTGTTGATTTATTATGAAATTATTTGTATGTTGTGTTTGATGATTTTTCAGCCACCATCTTTTTCCCTTGTTGAATTTTACAGAAAAAAATGCATATATCCAGAGCCCTATAAGGATTAACCCTAACCCGGCCACCTGGGGTCCGTACGGACCCCAGCTCAAAATAAGAATTCTGAAAGTGCGTCTTGTCCTTTTTACGAGTACGTCTCAAAGGGACAAAAATTCTATATATTGATGGTATATGATACTCTGCTTCAGTATAACATGAATTGAAAAGTTAAACGCTCACAATTAAGTTTGAATCTCATCCAACTTAGAATAGTACAATATACGCGTTTATAGAGGTGGGCCGATTAGGGTTAAGCATAAAAAAGATACCTGAGTAATTCCAACAACATAAATTTTGAAACAAAATATGATTTCATTTTTAGTTCAAACATGACACTGGATTTTTTGTTTTGCTAATTATAAACTATAAGATCGTATTCTAGTTGTTTGTTTATAATTTTTCTATGAGCGATCAAAATAGGATTCCATCACGACAAAATGTATGTAGAATCATTCAGGTTTGGTCACAAGTTGATCATGATCGTGGATGACCGAGACTTCTTTCATTGATTGAAATTAATGATGTTTCAATCATATTCTAACTTCAGTAAAGAAGAAATGGAAGAAATAATTTTCTTCAAAATACTGTTGAGTCTTTATTCTATAGAGTTACCAGCGTTTGTATTTTATTTGCAAGTCACAAAAATAATTTCATTTTTATTGAATTAATACACATATAAGGATTACTGTATGTTATTATTTATTATAGGGAAGTATGCGAAGCTCGTTTAAACATCATAAACATCGAGAATCTCTTACATCAAATGAAAATGTATAACTTCAGTTTCACAGTCGGTCACAAAAGATTATTGACAATATTCAAAATAATTCTAACGAGTATCAAGTATCATCAGCTGTTGCTCGAATAAGCAATGAGCTTATATTGTCATGTACAGCGAGAATGCAGTGCAATAGCTTCGTATCGTATGATTCAAATCATATTGATTTAATGAAATAATCCTAAATTCGATTGAAAAGAGTCAATTTTTCCACAAAATACTTAAAATATTCGAGAACATGAGCCAGTACAAAAAAGGCAAATAGGCAAGGAATAGTCGGACAAATATCGTTCTGATACATAAAATAAAAATGGCTGTGAAACGCCTGATCTGATCTTTTAAGCTGCATTATTTTTGTATTGGTTCTGTATCCAATTCAATCTATTATCATATTAATTATTTGTCGTAATACTTTCGCATGTCGATATGAACGGGAAATTAAACATAGTTACGGTAAAGACAATGATAAGAGACCATAAATCTCTCATCACCATGATCACCTCAAAAAAGTAATATTCTAGGAGTATCATGAAATCAAAGTAAGAAGTAATAAAATGGTGAAGTTGTCTATACCCATGTCGCTCAAACCGATCGAAAACCATCGGTTAACCGCGGTTCATTTTTATAAAAATCGGTTAACCGCAGTTATGCAAGCCATTTTAGTGACTTTACAGTGTAAAAACCGACGGTTAACCGGATAAATAACCGGTTAATTGAGGGCGAACCGACTGTTTATCCGGTTAACCGGGCACTTAACCACGGTTAACCGTCGGTTTTTACACTGTAAAGTCTCTAAAATGGCTTGCATAACCGCGGTTAACCGATGGTTTTCAATCGGTTTGTGTGACATGGGTAATGTATCAAGCTTATCGTTCATTTTGATAAAGTAAACTAAACTAAAATACCCACAAAAAGTATTCTCGCTGTTATGATGATACGACATTGGTTCACTAGAGTACTATTCTGGATTATTTTAGCACGTACAAGCCAATAAATGCTAAATAAAAGTCGACAAGAAGTCACTGGAAATAGATTAAGCTAGACTGAAACAAATTTTTTAATATCCTGTAGACGATCTAATAAAAAAAACTTATTAGCGCAGCCCCTTTGGGGCTAAAATGTGGAACTCACATATATCCCTTAGGCTTATTAAAATAATTCAAAATAGTTCATCTGCAAAATCAACCTTGATTTCCAAAACCTATAATTAGGTCATTACCTATTTGCTTATGTCTGTAATGGAGTATTAATTGTTAGCTCGTATATTTAACAATGGCAGAGACTAGTTTCTATGGTCTGTAATGGTACCCTAAACTAGTTACTATGGTTTGTAATGGGCAATCATTGCTTTTTTCGTGTAGTCTGTAATTAAAAAAGGAAGAGATAGCAGCCTAATTAGTCAAGCGCTTAATTAGGACAATTTTAAACTCATTAATGTCTGTAACGCGGGGTGGGGGGGAGCCGCAAAAATCTCGCTTTTAAACTTACACTCATCATTTTCTTCGAAAATATATGTGAGTTCCACAAAAGAGCAAGAAATAAAACTAAAGTAATGCCGTTTGCGACATTCATTTTGTTTCAGAAAACTCAATAAATCATCAGCAGTTTATTAAGAAATGTTGGGACGCAGAAAAAATATAGGCTTTTCTTTTTTCATATTGAAAGTAAACCCGTCTGCCGTACAATAAGTCGTTACTGTTTCATTTTCTTCTCGTGAACAATGTACACAGAGAGAATCTTCTTGTATGAGCATGGAGTTCAGTATTGGCCAGTGATAAGATTCAGTTGCGGTGATTTTTTGGTAACATGATTGATACTCTAAGATGAAAAGAGTAAGTCGTGTAGATCAATTATAATTGAAATATAGATAAAACCTTGACGAAAAATCAACTCTAGCAAAATATTTTCATTATTAAAAAAGTATTCAATAAGGGTAATCTTTTAAATTTTACTCACAATCAATCTACCACAAAAATCGGATTATTGTGCTTGAATTAAATAACATAGCTATGAGTTCACTTTGTCAGATTATCGAAATTTTAATTTCTCTTTGTCCATGATTAATATTTTTATTTTTTACGAAACTATTAAATCACATAAGAAAAAGAGAAATTATAAAAAAAATATTATCAGCAATAGATTGCTATACACCGGTACAATTTCAAATGGAAATTAGGTTTCTTTTGTTACTTGTAACAATCTCGATCATGAAGAAATCGGTTTAGATAAGATAATAAATCCAGTAGCCACTAATCGAATTACAGTTCCAGCGATAAATATTAAATAATTTCTTAATCCAACTATATCCTTAAAATATAATATTGACCAAAGGACTGCTAGTGTTGCTGGTCCGATCGATATTATTGGATACGATATTGCTTGACTCAATATACTATTTGCAACAATAAACCCAGCTTCTGCAATTCCCCACATAATTCCAGATATGAATGCAGGTAATATACTTTCTATACATATAAGTGGACGATTACGTTTACAAACAATATATACTGAATAATAGAAAAACGAAGATAAAAGTATTCCAGTATACATTGAAAATATATAATGAAGGCCATTTTTTGATGCTGTCGGATATTTATATTTCCTATGATCTTGTATATATGTACTCGGAGTAAATACGAGACCAAATATTATTCCACTTATAATAGCCAATATATATCCAATTATACGCATGCGTCTACTTGGTGTAGATGATGATGATGATGATGGACTACTATTCAATTCTAATGGGTCATCCTTTAATGTATTTATTATAGATGTATCATTTGATTGAAGAATTGGTTGATGTTCTGCAGTAGTTTCTGGACTGTTTCCAGTACGAATAAAAAGAAATATGATACCGCTAAGAACGGCGATAGCAACACCTATATAATTAAATAGAGGATTTTCAACCTTCTCTGGTATTAAACCAAACCAACCAAAATGTCCGCTTGCCCATCCTATTTTATGCGCATTGAAAATTTTATTTTCATTTTATTATTAAAATTTTTACCCATAAATAAATTCGACGTACACCATAATAGCATGGACATGCCTAGACCATTAATCTGTATAACATATACTGAAAGAACATTTCCTGTTGTCCATAGAACTCCACCTATCATAACTAATGGGAAAAAAGGAGGGCTTCCAACAATTAAATTAATGACAACACCTGTTATCCATATTCCGCAGCATAGAAAAAATTGAAATGAAAGCCCATCGCCGATTGGGTATTTGGCTGCGGGCACAAAATTTGAACCGAAGAAAACCACTGATATTAATACAGCTATGTAACCAATCGAGTGTGGAGTTGGTACGTCAGGTGGAAGTGAAGTAGTGGAATTATGTATGATTGTTGTTATATTCCCTAATATTTCATCATCGAAAATGTGCATCCTTAGTATAAAATTATTTACCTTTTATGAATACGAGGACCTCAACATGTCTTATCTCTCTCTCTTATCTTTAAGAATTTTTAGCTATTGTTCGACAAACAGAAAAAAACGTCGTTCTTCGCTGATATTATCATCATAATTTTCTATTTCAAAATTTGAAATATTTCTTCGGTACACGATTCCTTTTCAATTAACATTTTCATAAGCAAAAGAAAAAGAATTTCTTCTATCGTCTATGTTGATATTTTTATCTTTAACAATTCCAACAAAACAAAAAGATAACATAAAAAGAAAACCATCACATAACTTCTTGAACGAAGTATACATTTGCGTGAAAGCAGATATGTCCTATGAATTCGAAGATGATTTAGTTATAATTGGATCTTCAATTCGTCGAAATACTGCTAAATATTTATCACCTTTATTTCGTTCGACCTTTTTTCCTTCTTCAGTTGAACCAATCACATGTTCGATACATGGATCATTTTTAATTACTGGATCATCGTTATTGATACGTTCAAATAATGGAAACTGTTCAAAACACGAACACATCCATTGATGTAAATCTAATACATCTGTACATGTATAAACTAAACCATCGACACGTAATAAATAAGCATATTCAGCTAGCAATTGTTTATTAATAATTCTCCATTTATGTTTTGCTTTTTTAAAATGTGGATCTGGATAAAGAAAAAACATTTTTGATAATTGTCCTTTATGAAAATAATTTGGTAGATATTTCATTGCATTTGTTCTTAGACAGCTTATGTTTGTATATTGTCCTGAATGTTGTTCACGTAAGGCACAAATACGATCAAGAACATAATCAAGTACTTTAACACGTAGCTCCATGCCGAGCATTAATTTATCGGGAAATAATGGTGAGAGAGCAACAAGTAAACCACCATAACCACAGCCAATATCGACAAATTCAATCAATTGATTTTCAAGTTTAGGTCGTTTATTAGAAACCGATGATTCTTCATCATTGGACGGTTGCTGTTCGAAAGATTTTATTACTGATGGATAATGTGATGACCAATCCATATCATCTGGTCGAATAGGATATTCAACTGAATGATCCGATAATGGATTTGAATGAGCTCGTTGACGATAATATTTCTTCTGTGGTAACGACATTTTATCTGAAGAAAAAAAATATATATTTATTGGAATAGTTTTATTTTAATATTCAATATTTAATATTGTTTTCATTTCTTTAAACATCAAATAATCAATAAGTGAACTGGGTACATATTCTTTCAGTAGAACTATTGATTTACTCAATGGACATGGAAGAGTTTTTCGTATTTGTAATCGTGCTAGATCTTTTAATTGTCTTGGTTTTAATAAATAAACTTCAAGTTGACTAACAAAACGTTCATAATCGACAATAGCATCCATAAGACTTGTTTCAGTAGACGATTGTTGCTGTTGATAATTACGGTTGACGTAAGGAAATGGACATTGCCATACGCGACATGGTGCACCGGCATAGAGAGCCATACGAGCATGATCATATAGTGCATAGTGGACAGCTCGTGTTAAATATGTATTACCGAAATTATTTTTTAAATCGAGTCGAGTACCTTCAACAATGAGTTCATGTGCTAAAATAATAATATTGATAATACGAATTATATTTAATTAAAAAATCAAAATCAAAACATACCAATAGTTAAACTACTCCCATGATGTAGTGTGCACATAAGTGGTGTTTCAAAGCAATCATCTCGCTGATTTATATCGCATCCCAATTGGATAAGCATACGAAGAATTTGAAAAAAACTCTCCGTCGGTTGCTCGACGGCTCGATCACACAGAAGATGAAGTAAATTTTTACGATGTGTTGTTGTAATTACATTAATAAAAGCACCTACAAAAGTATTTATTTTATTATGTTAAACAAATAAACAAAAGAAAAGAAATATCTCATTACCGGAGTCTATTAAAAGTTTTAATAAATCAAATTCACCGTCGATCGCTGTTAAATGAACAAGACGCATACTATGTGTGTTGTAAACATTGGGCGATGCACCCGATTGTAGTAGAAATCGGAATATTTCTTTAGCAGTCTAATCGGATTCAGAAATAAAAACAGACATATGCATATTCTATTCATTTGCACATACCACTAGCGTACTTCAAAGAAAAAAAGATTCTCCTGCTTATTTTTATACACTTGATAAGCTTCAATCAATGGAATGATTGTATAGGAACGAACAGAACAATTGACATCACAGCCAAGTTCAATAAGTGTTCGAACAAAACCAATATCACAACGACGAATAGCGATGATCAAAGGCGTTAATGAGCGTGTACGAGGATAGCCATCGATTGGAAATCCTAAAAACCACGAAGTGATATAGAGTTAAATAAGTTTCAGTCGAGAATAATTACCATATTCATGTAGGAGACGTAAAGCTCTCTCTTCTTTAAATTGTGTAGCATGGGCACAAGCATCAAATTCATGTTCGAGAAAATAGTTTAATCGTTTTGGTTGATTATTTAAAAGATTTTTGATCTTTTTCAATTTGCCATGATGGATGAAGGATCGTAGACGACTCAAATCAGCGTTCATTTCACTATCAGTCATGAAAAATTGAGTGTAGAATGCAACTTCTTACTCAATTATATTTTATTTACTTGAAAGAAATGAGTGAAATTAAAAGACACTTTTACTTGACGAGAATAAGACCAATAGAAATGTTTTGTAGCTGTAAGAAGGCGAAATGTATAGGATGGCGCTATGTATTTGTTAAAAGAAAACGAATGTAATTGACATCTCAGTCGGAAAAATGTTTCAGCTTGATCAAATTGTAGAGGGCAGAAAAACAAAGGAAATTTTCAATTTTCGTCTTCAAAGCTGGATTTCAACAAAGTTGCAAACCATTGTGAAATTCGGTCTTTCGCTTACATTTAAAGTGGTGTTTCTCCAATGAAAACAAAAATATCGCCTTTTCTTGTTGTTGTGAAATAATCCGATGATTGATCATCGACGCACTATTGAGCAGTCACTCGTCATTTTTATATGAGGATCTTGTTAGAAAGATAGTGAGTTCTTATTTTGCTACGTATGTATTTTCAAAGTAGGTTTTAAAGGCCTCACTCAACAACAATCGAGGTTATGTCAAGAATTTACAACTAAAAGAATATTTTTTTTTCGGTCGATTATTCTATTAAATATGACAAGCGATGGCGGCAAGGAAACTTCTTTCGGGCTGCATACTCTATTATTTAATTGTTCACTTGAATTCATAACTTAATGATGTTTTGAAATCATTTAACTATTCTGATGATAGTTCCAGAAAAACCATTAGCATGTTTACTCGTAGGAATCAATTATCAATGAAAACATCTCTAATAATATGTTTTTACAGGACTCGTACTCGTGACAACAATCTGTTCTATTTTGCAACCGTAATGTTGATGATACAATCTTTAATTATTCAATTAAAATAAAACGATTGTACTTATTGATATTATGCAATGGATTTGAGAAAATTCTTCGAATATTATTTCAATTTTTTAATCTCATATAGTTAAATAAATAATCAGTGTAAAAGAGAATCACTTGCATCGTTATATATAAAATGGCTAGTCTAGCTGGAGACACAGGAGTCATACTAATGGTTGCCTGATAGCCAATAAAATCGCTCACCCTGCATTCGTGTGTGCACGTTTGTTCTTCCTTGTCGTCATCTGTCCATAATAGTAATAAGGCATAGAAAACTAGCGAATCAATTTCAAGTTTTTCAGTGTAGTTCTATTTTATTCAAAACCTTTTTTTTCTAAATTTTATTTTGTTTATACGCCAATTTTTATGTATTTAACATTTTCATATCTTTTTTAGATGTTCGAATGGTCGACATTGCGTGAGATTCTAATAAAATATGTTGACATGATTGCGCAATATTACATGCATATGGAATTTCTCAGTCATTTATGATCTTTTTATCCGTGTTTAATGTAAAAATTTCATCAGTCATTTTTGCTTTCATCATCCGTACTTATAAAAAGCAGACGAGATCATGTCTATTGAGTTATTTTTAAATATTCTATGTACTTTCATAAATTAAAGTGTAACGACGAAAAATTATACAAAATTCGAAAGCGACAAACTCCTAATCTGAGATAATAATTTGTTCAATAGCAACTTACATATCTAATAAGATAAACATATGAGTGTGAGTGTCTTTTAAGATTCGATTTATTTTTATTATTATATATTTATATTGAATATATTCTTTATATATATATATATATATATATATATGTAAATTTTGTTCAGATTACTTCAGATCAGTCGTCTGACATGGCGGCGGCGGCAGATGGAATACAAGCATATGTAGATAAAGTAGTACAAAAATTACCAAATGAGGATGAAGATCAACAATCTGATGCAGTTCGACAATATTTATCAAAAAAAATCGCATGGATTAGTCCAAACGAGGAACAATTTGATGCACTTGTTAAACTGTTGAAAAAGCGTCTTGATGAAGGTCACGGTGAAACTATTCTTGAAATAGGCACAGGAGGTAGTTGATTACAAAGAAAATAATCGCAAGCTTTTCAAGTTTATTTGTTTATTTTAGTTGCCGATGGTGAATGTCCTGGCTTACTTGTTGATGAAATGGAAGCGTCTGTTGCTACCATGAAAAGTATGCAAGCTGTACTCGACTCTGAAGTACAGCTTTTACGTGAAAAATTAGTTTCTAATAATACACGCTATATTAATGAATATCTTATTCGAAGACATATTGACCAAGAAGATTTTATGGAAGTGAGGTAAACAATAGAGAAAATATTAATTTTAAATGTTTATGATTAAAATTATTTTTTTTATTTCAAGAGTGGCAGTAACCGGTAATGTCGATGCTGGTAAATCTACATTGTTGGGTGTTTTAACCCATGGATTACTCGATGATGGTCGTGGTATTGCACGACAAAAACTTTTTCGACATAAACACGAAATTGAAACCGGTCGAACGTCATCTGTGGGAAATGTAGGATTGCTATAGAAATGTATTTATTTTCTAAAAAGCAATGTTGAATTTTGTGTTGTAGGATATTCTAGGATTCGATATTCACGGAACAATCGTAAATAGACCAGATAGCCACGGCAATCAAGCGCTTGATTGGACTGATATTTGTCAAAAAGCTGCAAAAGTAAAACAAGTTTTGTCTCTATGAAACATTTCCATGAATAAAATTATCTTTTAATAGGTAGTAACATTTATTGATTTAGCTGGGCACGGTAAGCAATATACAATTTCGTCAATGAGAATAACGAACTAGACATCATTCTTTTTCGTTATAGAAAAATATCTTAAAACAACTGTATTTGGTATGACAGGACATGCTCCTGATTATGCTATGTTAATGGTAAGAATTAAAAATAAAAATAGTTGATAGTTTTTATCAAGGTCTTTCTTTGCCTAATTCAGGTTGGTGCAAATGCTGGTGTGATCGGTATGACAAAAGAACATCTGGTAAGATAGTGAACGATAAATTTTTTGTATTTTTTTCTATTGAGAATTTTTGTTTTTAAATTAAAAGGGTTTGGCTCTTGCACTTGGTGTACCTGTTTTCGTGATTGTCACTAAAATAGACATGGCTCCTCCAAATGTTTTACAAGAAACTATGAGACTTTTACAAAGAATTCTTAAGTCATCAGGTGTTCGCAAAATTCCACTCTTGATACAAAATAATGATGATGTTATAACTTGTGCCACAAATTTTACTAGCGAACGATTATGTCCAATCTTTCAAGTCTCAAATGTTACTGGTGAAAATTTAGATTTATTGAAAAAATTCTTAAATCTCTTAACCACTCGGATGGAAGCATGTATTGATGAGCCAGCTGAATTTCAAATCGATGATCTTTATGCAGTGCCCGGTGTTGGTACTGTTGTTAGTGGTACAACATTGAAAGGTACCATTAAACTTGGTGATAATTTACAGTTAGGGCCTGATCCACTTGGACAATTCAGAACAGTTCAAATTCGAAGTATGTGTTAGTGCCTTGTTCATCATTGGAACGACAGGTTTTTTTAAAAATTAGGTATCCATCGTAAACGAATGCCAGTTAAAGAATGTAAAGGTGGACAAACATCTTCATTTGCATTGAGAAAAGTAAAGAGAAATTGATATCACTAAGTGAGATACGATTTTATTGATTTATTTTATAGATCAGAAAATCTGAACTTCGAAAAGGTATGGTTTTACTTTCACCAGCTATTCCACCTGTGGCTTATTGGGAATTCGAAGCTGATCTACTGATATTACATCATCCAACTACAATTAGTACTAAGTATCAAGCAATGGGTAAATAAAAATTTTATTTCAATGAAAAAGTGTTTTTCTTAAAACTTTTGCTTTCAGTACATTGTGGCAGCATTCGACAAACTGCAACGATAATAACAATGTCTGTTGAGCACTTACGTACTGGTGATAGAGCTAATGTTCGTTTCCGTTTTATAAAATCACCTGAATATCTTCGTGTTGGAATGAAACTTGTATTTCGTGAGGGACGTACAAAAGCTATCGGTAGTATATCGAAGCTCTATCCACATGTTCCTACTCCTGCTCCCAATACTCGAGGAAAGACAAGATCACAAGCGCTAGCAGGAAGTGTTGCAAATACAATCACAACGGATCAATCGCAGCCAAGTAAACGTACTGAAGTGACTGACGATACTAATCGATCAGCTTACAAACGTACTAAGCAAACAACAACAACAACAACAACAACAACAACGACAGCTGCTCCTGGTGATCAAAATAACAATAATAATGTGGATCAAGTCACTCACTAATCGATTTGATACTATCTATATATTTATATGAATAAGTTTTAATCACACAACAATGACGATAGACATTTAAAAAAGAAAACAAATTTTGTGTTTACTTTTTACTTTTTTTCATTTGTACATAAATCTTCATCTTGGTATGATGTTGAAAAAAAGTGTGTTGTTTTTCGTTTTCAACTCTATATTACTGGTGGATTGGTTATATATATATATATATATATATACATATATACATATATATATATATGTATGTATGTGTGTGTTTGCATGTTGATGTTTTTGTTTCAGTCATTTTTTTCTGTGCCATTATGACAACATATGTCTGATGTGTATAAGACTTTTTCGTAGATTCAAAAATTAAAAGAACCAGAACTTTGTTGTTACTGTATTCCGCTGGAAACTTCACTTTCCAGAGTCACGCGTCATTTTTAACTTTCACACTTGAATTCATCTTTTCATGAAGACTCTACTTCAATAATTTATCATTGCACAAATGAATTTCTTGTCCTATGTTAAAATCAAAGAAAAACTTTTATTTAATATTGAAATCATAAATTAACGAATATTAATTTTGTTTTTAGATAGATCATATTTGTAATATAATGATCATTAATAGAACTTTTTTTTCTAAATGCGAAGTTTTATTTTTAAAATTTGGATATATGATTGGTCAGGTATCGTTAAACGTTATCATCGTGTGTGTATACATTACTTCGTTAATTGTGTGTTGAGAAAACAAAGTAGGATTCTTTATTTTTGTATACTCAAAAAAAAAGAGTACACTAGAATCGGTCAGTGTGTCCGTCCGTTTATTCGATAACTCTTCACAATTACATTCGATTGAGCTGACATTTTGTGCACAAAATTTTCTCATCAATATCTAGGTCGAGTTCGAAGATGAGAAGGATCTGTAAAGAAATGGCTGAGTTATCGAAAAAATTGTCATTTTTGATCAGACCATCCCTGAGGGGGAGTACACAGGGATTTTTCAAAAAAAACTTTTTTTCTCAGAATTACCCACAGCATATATAAATCGACTCAGTTTTTAACGCTGATTCTAAATTTGATATTAGTTTTGAACGAAATCGTAGCTTTCTAACGAAACATCGCCTGAAAAACGTCTCAAAATGCACAAAAACTTCATCCAGAAATCAAATTGCCTAGTTTCTCATGATAATTTTCGTGTTCAGACATTCTAGAATGACTCATATGTCCCATGCACTTTTTTCAGTACACATAACTCTCGGATGAAATCCGATGTTTCCACATTTATTTCTATTGAAATCGAAAAAATAACCTAATTTAAATGTATTCGATAAGTTAATATTTTGCCTGCGATTGGAATGTACTTTTATTTATCTAAACTAATATCTTTGTTTTCATGACTGAGTAGTTAATTTAGATGAAAAACAAAAAGAGAAGTTTTGAGGCGGCTGTTTAAAATCATTCATTATTATTGCACTTATATTTTTGCCCTACAGACCAAAAGGTCTCAAGGTTAGAAAGAACACAGATAGTTACAAGCAGATATGCGAGAACCTTCTTGGAATTTATCTCAGGACATATAAACTAGCTGGAAAATTTTGTCAAAGCTAGGGTTAATATGATTATTATCTTTTTGAGATGTTTACTGTAGTTGAAAGTAATGACATTAATTGTCGTATGTGCTATGATATAATCTAGCAAACTTCCGATAACTGTATACAACACAGCTGCGCGTGGAGTGAGGTCGGAAGAAAAAATTGTCTCATCCCACGTGGAGCCCTGAGACAGAAGATATCTAATCTCTTATCTATCAACAGAGCTTATTCTAGTATTTAAATCATTTATTTTCATCAGATTTCTTGTTAATTTAATAAACTTAATTTATAGGTAGATTATTGGAGTTATTAAAATGGTTTTTTTTTCTGTACGCAATAGAGAGTGACAGGTTAAAGTGTTTACAGAACATTTCAATAATTCAACACTTTTTTCTTTTGAAATAGTAAAAGAAATCATGTTGAAAGATAAATGATTTTTTCTGATATCAATATCTAATGGCCTTGATGATCGAGAGCCCGAATATCTGGATGTAATATATTTTGTACGAATAAGATAAGAAGAAATATGTTAAATATTCTATTCAGGATATTCTTCTTTCTTTTGTCTATCCTAGATAATTATATTATAGAACAGGATTCATTTCAAGAATCATACAGAATAGATGAGAAAATCAATCGTATCGTCGTTTTTTGAAGAATGAGAATTTGGTCATTATGACCGAGTTAGTTTATTGTTCGCATATTTATTTAGTTGAGTGAATTTTTGAAAAGCATTATCTAGTATATGAAATTTAAATCCAATTCACTTGGTCTACTAGTGTTTGTTGTTTTACAATCGATCATTGACATTCAATTGAAACCGTTGACTGTTGATCGTTGTACGGTTGGTAGAGGTTCATAAATATTTCTAGGCACATAATATGGTTGATAGGCAGGCGTAGATACTTCTTCTCGTTTTGTTTTCTGTTGAGACGAAGAGACATAATAAGGCCATTGAAAAGCATTACGCTGTTCACTAGTACCCATACGTCGTTGTCCACCATTTAACTTATCACTATCTACAATGAGTTGGTCAAAATATTGACTACGTGACATATGATCTCGTTTTAATTGTGTATCCGATTGCGTATTTGGTTTGCTAGGAATATGTGGTGGTAAAAGTGCATGTCCTGGTATAAACGAAGGATAATTAGGAAATCGTTCTTGATATTCAGTATCTTTTAAAGACGAATGATTTATTGCTATTCGGGATGAAATCAAATAGTTAGGTGGCAATGGAACATGATCAAAGACATGACTTGGTCTTGCATGAAAGACATAGGGTCGTTTCGGATGATAATTTTCATAACATAAACGATATTCAGATGAAGTTAAGGCTGTTTTTGGATCAACATCACAAGCAAGAAACGGACGACCTGATGGTGGTCGTGAAGAGTTCAGTTTCGGTAAAGCTGCATGTGGATTGTAATCTTCTCGACGTGGTGATAAAAATCGTTGACGATATTCGGTTGCGGAATCTTAGAAATTAGAAAAACAAAGCGTCTTTTTTTTCATTACTCATTGATGATTATTTTCCTTTCATTAAATATAGGAATTAATCGTAATGAAAATTTCTAATAAGGCACATATTCTTACATGTAGAGTCGTTTTGCATAGAAAGCCTTCGTACCAGTTGTGATGGCATTATTGATTTTTAGCCTGTTTCTTGCTTCCGCAGCCTCGTCTTTCTTGCTCTATAAAGTCTCTTCGTTTAACCAAATTTTCAGTTGTGCCTTTTTCTTTTTTATTGCATTTTATTGCAATTTAAAAAACAAACAGAAAAGAAAACGCAGTAATAAAGAGACGAAAAGAAAAGTGTAGTTGACTTTAAAAAAGAAAAGAAAGCGAGACATTTATAAGCTTGTATGAGTTTTGTTTCACTATAATGTTTATTCTTTGTTTGACAAACAATTTATGAAGCGATCGTTGCCATTCATTGTTTCGAACCCTTTTCAGTAATCATGACAGGTAGTGAGACACAGACGAGCTCACGGCCTTTACCATCGATTAAATAGTAACGCATTTGATTAACTTTTACCTTTGAAAAGAAAGTAAATCGTAAGAAAATGAAAAAAAAGAAGGAAAGCTCTATTATACATACTGATGGATATGTTGGACTAACAAACATGCTATTACGGTATGTGTATACAACCCCGTTTTGAAGTGGACAACCGAGTTGTTGACAAACATCAGAATTAGGTAAAGCAAAATCATGATCGATTGTACCGATAGTTGCAACGACTTTAGCTCGAACTTTATGAGCTTTCTTTTCTTTGAAATACAAAAACAAACCAACATTGAAGTTTCGTCAATTTCTTTTGCTTTTTGACTTTCTTACTTAGAGTAAATGAAAATTCGAGTCGAGCATCAGCATCCTTATAAAATGTGCAATATTCATCTGTGCACGGAGCATTTACAGAGACCTTAACAATTTCACCGGAGCTCGGCGCTGAAAAACAAAAATTCTAATTACGCAAAGCAAATCGATCAAGACTTTTATACATACGTGAACACTGTTTAAATGGTGCTTTTAATTGAGCAGCGAATGTACTTAAAATAAGTGCAAAAAATATGCAAATTGCCACATGACTAACTGCCATTGTTTTCTATAAAATTTAGTGTAAGTGTCTATTCGTGGATGTGTTATGATAACAGCTAACTCGACTGACTAACAAATAATCCATTGCATCTAGTATTTATTCATTCTATCCACACCATACAGACCCCCTTAACAACATCTTATCTCTTCCAATAATCGCGCCACTCGATTGCATTCTTTTTTTCTCCCTCCGTCCCTCTCTCTTTGTACGATATATACACGTGTCCATACACTTGAATTCAACGAATAATATATATATATATATACGGTCTACATAATAGATAGAGAGAGAGTGTGTGTGTGTGTGTGTGAGAGAGAACAAACGAGATAAGCATTACAAATAGATATTTTCTCCTGGATTCACATGCACCGGATAACAAACACTTGAGAATAAAATGAAATATATGTTTGGTTATTCATTTATTGACTTACTTGTTGACTCATAGATAGAAGACCGAATGTTCTCAACGATGCTATTAGCAAGAAGTTGAAAATAGAAAAATTAAATAAATATAAGAATACAAAACAAATTTTCTAGATGGATGATGCAACAGCCCTTATAGCGGGTCAAACCAAAAAATATAATATACCATTGAGTCATTTTGAATATAAATATATACAAAATTGTACCGATGGAAAAGAACTTGAACGCATTTACAAAGAACTAATGTAAAATAATATAAATTCTCCTTATTAAAAGCCGATTCGTTTCTTTTTTCTTCTTAATTAATAATTATAGAGGTGGCGAAGTAGGTTGCTTTCCAGCTTTAGAACAATTGACACTTGATCGAATTCGAGATATAAAACCGAACAGGTAGAATTCATTGTTTTACGTTGTAATAGACCATTGATATTATTATAATTATCCTTTTAAGTCACACTCTTCGAAAAGATAAAGCTCCACTTGATAGATCAGCCTTACCCGATGATGAGCGTCAAAATTTTGATGATTTTATTACTAAAATGCAACAGATAGATAAAACCTCGTTGAATATTGTCAACGATCATAAGAACAATGGCATTGCTTCAGTACCAATCCGTTCCAAGTCTACAATTGTAAGATTCTTATTCATTATCATCTCTAATTATTTTTCACATTTTTCAAAGAGTAAACCGACTACATCAGTGCCTGTGATAAACACTAATGGTAAACAGAAACGAATAGTACCAAGAAGCTACGATGAATGGGGAAAGTAAGTGTCTATATCGATCGATGACGATGAATTTCTCTACTTGAAATATTATTTTAGAATAGATAAACAAATTGCTCGAGAAATGAATAGTGATAATGATGATGATGGTGATGATGATGATGAAGAATTCGATGATGATGAGAAAACAAGTTCGTTCATATACGTAAATATTATTTTGATTTTTTTTTAAATAATTAGCGAACAAAACTCCCTCTTCGAATGCAATGCAAGAGAAGAGTCAACGTCTTGAAACTGCTGAACAACATCGGCTAAATGGAAATGCGGCATTTAAATCTAATAATTATGAAAAAGCTATTGATTTATATACAAAATGTATCATATTGGATAATACAAATCCAATGGCTTATATGAATAGAGCTATAGCACGTGCGTAACAGAACTATCTTTTACATCAATTATATTTATGAGTTGTGTTGTTTTCTGTTTTGATTCTATGTAGATTATAAACTGAATAGTTATGATGCATCGATTACGGATTGTTCTCAAGTGTTATCAAAAGATCCGAATCATATCAAAGGTTTATTTTTCAAATGAAAACAATTGGTAAAAAAAAAGCACAAAAGTTTTTTCTTTATAGCATTGTTTCGTCGAGCATCATGCTTTATTGCTAAACAAAAATATGAGGAAGGCAAACGTGATCTCGATATTCTTCTCACTATTGATGAAGAAAATATCGATGCAAAAGTAAGATAATTGAATTTTAGCTACTATGAACTTTTCATAGATAGGATAAAAATTTTAGAATCTATTGAAAACAATACCAACTGTTCAAAAGACCAAAGGTGTTCGAATACCTATTACTGAAGATGATGACGAGGATGAGGAGGAAAACAAAAATAGTGCTGCACGACCGATTGTAAGTTAAAGAATTTTATTGAATCATATTAATAAATAAAAGATTTTGGTTTAGCCAACACCAATCAAAATTCCGATTGTAGAAGTTGAAGAAGAAGAAGAAATACAGGAACAACAAGAAGCTACGAATGAATCAATTCAATCAATGAATATTGATATTCCTCAACAGTAATTAGAAAAATCGTTTTTATTTTTCTTAAATTAATATCTATTTTTCTATATTAAGGACTAATGTTCATGAACGTCCATGTATAGGTTCTGAAGATGCTTCACCCGCTTTATTTGATGATCATTTTCAAAATTGTGAGGATTTAAATCAATTTCATGTGAATATGCATACTCAATTAGAACCTCTTGATACGGAAGCTATAGGCGGCGGCGGCGGCGGCGACGGTGATGATGATGATGATGATATGCCACTAGGCGATGAAGCTGGTGATGGTTTTCCAGGAACTATGAGTGATGATGATGGTCATGTTTCACATAGCTTAAATGTTTCACCAACTATGGACGATGATGATGATGTACCCGAGCTAATCGACCAGAAAACATTAGAAACACCACCGTTAACATCACCATTAAAACAAACAACCATTAGTAATACAAATAATGATAACTGTGTATATACAACGGCTGATGCATCGAATCGACGGCAATTTTCAGCTATTTCAAACGATGATTATAATGATTTATATGATAATAATAATAGATCAACAATATCAAATTCATATCCATCATATAAACAGAATTCGGTATGTTGGGATCTTACTTTTTTTTAGTGGAATAAATTTTCGTCTTTTTTATCTTATTAGATGTCTTCAAATCCATTTCAATCTCATGATCAAGATCGTGATATGCCTGCTCAACAACGATCATCAATAATGAATTCTTATAATGATCAAATATCGAGCTTGAATTTTAGTTCAACTCTACAAAATTGGTTACGTGACACAGTAGAATTACAATTCAATAATCGTTCATCAACATATCATGAAAAACCATGGTCGAAATCAACTCGACCTTCGACATTAAATAGCCTTCAACGTGATATTCAAAAATATAATGGAGCTAATGACATTAGAAATACAATTGAAGCATCGAAAAAGATGCTTAAAAATGGTGTACTCGGTTAGAAAATGTTTTTTTTTATGGAACTCCTATACTGAAATATGTATTCGTTTATTTTGATTTTTTCTAGATTATCATAATCATGCAGATCATATTGTGAGTACATTATTTATCTGTGCTAATTGTTATTTAAAAAATAATGATTACGTGCACACTATTCAATATACAAGTGAAGCTTTACAATATAATAAAATCGATACAGATGCTTTGATTTGTCGTGCTAAAGCGTTTGAAAATGAGAAATTGTATGTTTGGATTTTCTACCGGAAGAAAATGAATCATTTCATATTGATGTGTTTTCTTTTAGTTTGCTTCTCAGTTATGCTGATTATATGCGTGTACCGTCTACTGATTATAGTTATGCTTTGGCACAACGTGCATGTGAAAAGTGAGTACTGAATATTTTATCGAACAATTCGATTAGAATTATTTCCATTGTATAGATTGGCTACTGATTTAAATACGAATGAAGGTGAAAAATGGCGTGAAAAATTACCACAGGATACTAATGATGATGTACGTTATTTAACATATATTAAAACTAAAGATGAATTTACTGATGATAATCCATTTGAATGGTATCGGAAACGTGGTAATCAGCTTTATATTGATGCTTGTTATGTTCTTTCTATTCGATGTTATACTTATTGTATTGAACTTAAACCGGATATTGCAACTTCATACTCGAATCGAGCTGCATGTTATTTGAAAGTATTCGAGGTAATATAATTTTTTTATAATAATTCTTATCTAGAAAACAGGACTATTACTAATCCGTACTTTTCCCCCTGTAGGCACGCATAAATCCTATTCGTTAGATAATTTGATAAAAAAATGTGCTCGTCGGGCGAGGATACAAGACGAAGGAATATTTCTGGACAAAAATTAACGGATGATCTCTAGCCTTTGACTTTGTAACACTATTCTATGCGCTAAAAAAATTATTTTTAGTCACAAAAAGCAATTGACGATTGTGATAAAGCACTTGAAATCGATCCGAATAATGTCCGTGCTTTATATCGGAAAGCGTGCGCATATAAAATGTCACGTAATATACATTCATATCAATTGACATTGAAAGAATTAATTAAATTACAACCAAACAACCAAACTATTCTTGCTGAATATTATACATCTCGACATGAACAAATTCCGAGACGTCTGAGACGACTTCGTACTAATCCAGCAAATGCGACAGCCTCGAAATCATCAACACCTTCTGTTATTGAAGTCTCAAAACCGTTAAATACTATTGAGGAAAACTATCTTTCCTATGACGACCTTGAAAAAATTCGTTCACAAAAATCAACAATCAATGCACGACATCAATTCGAACAACAGTTACATTCATTAAAAGCCAATGATCTTAAAAGCCAATGTTCTCTTATTCTTCGGTTACCAACAAAAGGTTTATTTAAAATAACAGGTCCAGCAACATCAAAAGGAGTCGAGACAATAGTTAATGCATGTCGAATAATGATCGACGCTGAAAAACTTTATCAACAAGCAAATAAATCTTCCATATTACAATTTTCGTATGTTAAATTTTGTTTTAATATTCTTATTGAATTGGCAACACTTCCGCGACTTGATTCGGCATTACTAATGATGGATCCCATGCATCGAGCATCATTGGATTATTTACTTGCATATTTTTCATCTATATCATCGATCTTGACTGATGTTAACAAATTAGACCGTTTAAAAGTCAAAGACTGATCAATGAACTAGCTGTTTTTGGCTTCGTACTTTTTTTTTTATTATTAACAAAAGAAAAAATAAACAGAACAGAATTTTGTTTTAAACAAGAAAACAAATTTAAAGCAAACAATGATCAAGATTGTTTTTAAATTATTTGATTAATAAGACGCGAGATTCATTCATACGTTTACTAAGACCAAATAATGTGATTGAAAACGTTTTTGCTAAACGTTTTTCAATCTCGTCTAATTTGTGTACGAGATCAGTAATAGCTCGAGATTTGAATCTTGCGCCTATTTCCTATACATACAAATAGAATATAAGATACTGGATGAGACATCACGTTTTAGGGCCCAAGAAAATGAGCGGAACTTTAATTTGTTCTGCGAACAAGATCATTGCTTTGGTAAGCAGCTTTGAGAGAGTTACCCTCGTAGAATGACACGTTCAAATCTACTTCGATATTGAAAAGAAACATACTCGAATACGTGTCTGCATCGGGCGATATTTCCGTTCGAATGTGTGACAAATTTGAATAAGATGAAGAAGCAATAGATTAAGATCCGATATCATACGATCTTTAGAAGCAACATTAAGTTTTTTTGAGCTATGAACTAACTTTTCCAATTGAGAAGCATTTAAATAAGAATTAATTTCTTTAAATTTGTATATCAATAAATTTACATATTTATAAAATGAATAGTACATGACGTACCTCGTAGATCAGTTTCAGTAATCGTTTGTAATTCATGCTTGAGATTTTCTTGTATTTCAATTGCACATCGTTTATCATCAATACGTTCTATTAATAAGAAATCTAAATCAATTGCGATCAAATAAAGATCACGACCGAAATCAAGTAGATTTGGTTTATTATTTGTTTGTAACAATGATAGAGTCCATTTGATTAAATCTGCGTACGTGACACAGTGGTCAAGTGTTACACGTAAGGCTTCATTTGGTGAACGATAAAATTCATTCAATGGTGAAATATGACCTGATGCTATAAGTTCGCCATGAATCTTTTTTAATTTAGTATTGTCATATTCGGAACGAGCGAATAGATCGCGTAAAGCTTTTGTTAAAGAATTCATATACATATCTGCCGTATTTTTTATCGATTTAGGAAGATTACGACGAAGATGTTTAGGAGATACTTTGATATTATCCAATGGTAGTGCAGTTGTAGATATTGAAGATTCATTGGTTGGTTCAGCTGATGGATCTGAGAATTTTCGATTTTCAGCAACAAGCTATACGATAGATAGGTATTTGTTATTGTTTTAAATTATAAATTTACTTACGAACATAGTTTCTTCATTACTGGTTCTAAGATTTGATGATGACGAAATTCTTGCAATGGCTGGTTCTTCTTCAATCAGCTGACGAACAATATTTGATGGCATTGTTTTAGCTAATAATCTTTGTGCTTTTATTCGTATATATTCTGCATCACTGATAGACTGAGCCACTTTTTCAGCTACTGCAATATTAATTTCTTGTTTTGAATCATTTTTTACAGGTGTAAGATACACAAGAGGAGCTACATCTGGATTAAATTCAAAGTTCATCGTTTTGCTTTCATTCATGTTGCCTATATGAACAATTGTAAATAGAATTCTTTAACGGAAATCATTTTACTCACCACTTGAAGTGGTTTCAGGTTGAATAATTTCAAGATCAGCTTGAAATATTTCTGTACTTATTGATATATTCTGTGAGGATTTAAATTCTTCTTCAAAGTCAATTTTTGTATTTAATGTTTGACGATCAGAAATTCGTTGATTGTCAATTTCGTTTTTCAATCCAAGAGGATCTATGGGATCGATTATTTCCTATAAAGTCATGATATTTGGGAATAGAGACTCTCATGAGTGATTTATCAATTGGAAAAGGTCTCTCATTAGAAAAATAAACGATGAAACTACTTTTGCGCTTGGCAATGATGTGATTGATGCTTGACTTGGTTTGCTGGAAACATGAGCCATACTTGTTGTTGTAGATATTTGAACTGGTTGATCCTGGGTGATGACTGTAGGATTTTCTTGTTGTGCTTCTGTTTTCAGTGGTAATGACGCTTGTGATACGGATTGCAACTTCTCTTTTTCATTTTTATCAGCATTATTACTAGTTTTTTGCGTACTATTGAAAACTTTGGTTGTAATGTTTGGTGCAAATTTTAGCACGGATCTATTTTTTTTACTGTCGTGTTTTGATGAAGTTACCGTTTTTGTCGGTTTACTGATGGATTTATTCACAGGATGTCGCGTGGAGAGAGATCGATTTAATTTCTTAGAGACAGATGATTGTAATTTTTGGCCACTTTCCCTGGTCTTATACCAATGCTTGACACGCTCAGGAAGAGTTCTATTCGTAAAAGTAGAAGATAGTTTTTCTTTACCGAACGTTTATCGTTTACTTACATATCAAGTTGATCAAAAAAATCAACGAACTGTTCTTGTTTCAATCGATCGTCTATATTGTTGAAAATTTGATTTGTTTCATGAATAATTATTGAGATTTTTTTCTTATCTGTGTCTATTTTAGTTTTAGTCTCAATAGGAATTAATTTTTCTTTTAACATTTGTCGATAGAGTTTGTCGGGTAATTCTTTATTTTTCTTTAATTCCTTTTTAATTTGATAAAGAATTAGATTTCGATTTAATTCATCGGATCCATGAATTAAGTCATTAAGTAGATCAATAATACGTTCATTATAAAATTTACTAGATACTTTATCCAAATCGATAGTCTTATCTTGATTGGTTAGAGTTAAAATTCGTTGAATACATCGACGTATCAATGGAGCTTTCAAATTGTCAAGAAATGCTGAACATTCATCGTTCGTAGCTTCCACAGGAAGATTAACGCGAACAATAGAATATAAATCAGCTGCTTTGGATAATTTATAAATATCAGCTTTGTTAAGATTATGTGTTTCAATAAAATATGCCATACCTATCATAGATGGAAGAGAAAACAGTTGCGGTGTTACTTGCGTATAAATCTAAAAACCTAATTTATTTTCAATTTGCTCAAGTGAAATCGAAGGTTGTGTTTGAATATGATGATAGATATTGGTCAATGCTTGTGTAAGTTCGTTTATCGAGTTATTATCTAGTTGAGCATTTTCAATATCTTCAATTACGGCACCTAATCCATTCGTATCAATCTTTTTCATTAAACTCATCGTTATCGTTTGATTCATTTCACCAGTTATCGCAACGCGCTTAAGAGTACCTTGTTGTACTAAACGTTCATAGGCTAATTTCAATTCATTATTGCTCTAAGATAAAAAAAATTGACACGCGTGAACTAACTTCTTTTTCGGTCAGTTTTTACTTACTAAGGATGTGAAATAATCATGAATATATGATTCAATAAAAATACTATCGTGTTCAGTTAATTTAGTTGTCAGACTATTTTCCATTCTATCAATAAAATCATTTAATGAGACACCCATCGATGATTTCAGAGCATCAAAAACTGCTCTGATTCCATCGAGATGTGCACGTTGAAAAATTATATTCAATTGTTCGGTGATAAATTTTATTTGTTTATCACGATCATGATTTATTGTATCTCCATCGATATTTAGAATTAATTTAAGATCGCGAGTTAACATAGTCACGTCAGATGCAGCTAAACCAAAAAAAAGAAACAATAATCTATAGGAGAAAACTCAATGAAGAAATAGTCAACAGACACAATCGATTGATACGATTGCTCATTAAACTATTGAATACGGTTTGATCATGATCGGATATATCACCTAAAATCTAGTCGTAGAACTTCACTCCACGATAAAATCGAAAGATGTTTACCGGACTTATCTTCAAATTTCAATATTTGTTGTTGTCTGTGTTGTTCCATGTTTTCATTAAATGATTTCCGTAAGTCATTTGCTAAACGATATGTGCTATCGTTTTCAAGTAACACATTAATAATCGTTTGAATCGAAGTTACATTGGTTTTCATAGCGACTTGTTCAAATACTTTTTGAATATCTTGTAAAGCCTGAACAAGTTTAGGAACACCGATGTTTTTACTGATCAATTGAGCATTGATTAATTCATCATAGATATTAAAGATTCGATTGCTCTTCTGTCGACTAATTATTTGCATTAAATTTCTAATTAATTTTGAATCATCATGCTTTAAATTTTTTCCACCATTTGTATGAATTTCTTCAATCAAGTCATTCAATGATAATGGTTCCCTATTGCCAGAATCATATTGATAATTCTTTTTTGGCTTTTTATGTTTTGCTCCATAATAATTATCGTCATCACTCCATTCGAAACTAAGTTTTTCTTCGTCTTCTATTATTTCAGATACTTTATGTTCATTAGATAAATTCATAAATAATTCATCGGGCAATTCAAATGCTTTCGATAGAATTGCAGCATTTTTTTTCATTGAAAGTTTTCTGGTACCTAGACGTTGCCGCACAACTGAATTTGGAATTTGAACATCGAGACCAATGATATATGTTTGTGCATTGAACTGTTGTTCTTCGGACGTGTAGATTCCTAAGAATGTATGATTCATATTAGAGTAAATTCAAAAGCAAAAATATACACACGATGCCATCCACGTTGAATGTGTTCAGGTAATGAATAAGCAATTCTATTTTCATCAAGAGACTTTTTAACAATCAAATGGTAACTAGAAGCCATTGACTGAAAACAAAAAGAACGCGGCTAATATTCATTAGCCGATTAGCCGATGACATTCTTGTATGATTGTGGTTTGCATGTAAATTATTTCACAATTTTGATAAACAATACGTAGTCGATCTGAGCTGAGTGACTAGACAATTCATGCCAATAGTAAAAATTAATCTGCTAGATAGATGCGGACACATGAGTGCAGTCGTACTTGGAGAAACACATAAAAACAAAGTCATTTTATTTCATGACCCTTCAGCCGAAGGAACAAAACAAACTGCAGCGAAATCATATGGAAAAAAGCTTCAAGTAGATGCTCTGTCATTCCGCATCCCTTCATTAATCGGTTTCATTTCAAGAGCGAAGTTTCATCATTGTTTTGTCAAGACTCGAGTTTGTTCTGTAAGATTTTTCAAAATACAGCTAATCAATCGTCAGTTTCTCAAATTAAGTATGCATGATTTAGCTAAATGTTTTCGTCTGCTCATATCAGAAAGTGATTCAACTGTATATTTTCTTCTCTTCAATATACTACTTGTAGTTGTTTTTACCTTTGCTTACAAAAGAAAAGCACTAAACAACATAATTTATGAGAGTATTCTCAGGATTTGGATGTTTTAATTCGACCGATTTGAGACTTATCGTACCTGAGAATGAGCTATGCTAAAGGTAGCCGTGTTTTTTGCTCTTTGAACAATGAATATTTATTTTTAGAAGAATTGTAAATAAAGGTCACGATTAGCTGTAATCATCGAAATGTAGCTGTCATTAAAATTTTTATAAATATCGAAAATAAAAAAATATCTCCTTGATTATAGATATCGCATTATCATATACCAATGGACAACACCCTATCGATTCCTATGTAAAGTAGTGAAAATTCATAAGATCAATAAAATAAAGAAAAATAAGCATAATAAAAGAATGCAATGTATGTCTGTTTTAGGAGAATGGCTGGCGTAACATGTTAAAATAATATTTTTCATGTTATTCTAATCGTTTATGTTCAAGTAGTGATGACGATATGCGTAAAAAAATCCCTTTCGAATTTCTTTGAGTCTACTTCAATTTGTTATGACATTACGACGTTCGAAAGTGACTGATGTAAAAACATAAAAATTTACTGGAGTAAACGAAATACGATATAAAGCTATGCTCTCATTTACAAAACTTTGAAAAATAGAATCTCTATTTCGCTCGTAATATTCATGCATTATATAATAATTCTAGACTTATTTTCAGCATAAATTGTTTAAGATTTGCTTCCGGCTTTTAATTGTCGTTTATTCTATTGAATATTTTTGCGAAAATAAATAGGGTAGAATTCAGATTGCGTTTTTATGGAAGTCATTTAGTGCCGTAGTAAACGAAAAACGCGCACCGTGATTAATAATCATGCGAGAAGCATATGTCACTGAATAAAAAAATACAACTTCGTTTTTTTCTCTCTCTCTCTCTGTTTCTCTGAGTGCTATGTAGGTTTTTAAGTGGTAATCGGAGCTGCAGGTGAGACAATGAGAGAGAACTGAAAAAAATTAGTCGCAAAGGCGAAAAAGTGGCATATCATTACTTATTCTTTCGAGTATTTACTGAACGGAATAAGTCTCATTTAAAATCCTTGGTGCTGTTTTTCTTTGCCAATGTTTGTAGAAATCGTTTTAATATCAATAGTTCCAACAATATTAGCAACGATAGGCATCGATGTATCGCAAAGTGTTTCAAAAGATCAATTTAGATGTCTAAACGGTTTGCTTTGATAGAAAAAAAACGAAATTTTTATGACCTTGATATTCATCTCAATAGATAATGGATACAAATTTGCTGTGGTCCGTGCTTATCGAAGTGTGGGAATTGTTGATTCGAATAGTGCACAAACAATAAAAAATGCACGAGCTGCCGGATTCACTCACGTTGACGCATATCTATTTCCATGTTTTCCATGTGGTGATGCTCCTCAACAGGTAAGATGAAAACTAATAATGAAATCAGCTGTTGTTTTTTCGTAAATATTCTCTTATTAAGGTTATTGAAGTTATTGATTATTTAAGAGAAGAAAGAGCTGAAATCGATAGACTTTGGCTCAATATTGAAGGAAGATGGAATAATAATACGGAAATAAATATTAAATTTCTGGATGAATTAATCAAACAAGTAACTGATTTAGGTATTAAATTTGGAATTTATACATCAAGATATCAATGGTTTTCAATTATGAATAATGTGACAAAATTTCCCCCTCAGTCACCTCTATGGTATGCTCATTATGATGACAATCAGTCCTTTCGTGATTTTCAAGTATTTGGTGGATGGATGCAACCATCGATAAAACAATTTATTGGTGATGTAAAAGAGTGTGGTGTGGTGCTGGATAAAAATTTCTCTTAACATTAACGATGAAGAAAATGAAAAGTTCATTTCGTTGGTTTTCTCATGTTTTTTCTTGGTGTTATGTACCTGTGGCAATATGATCTTAAATTTAATTCCATTATTGATATTTTGTTGTTGTCTGCTCGTTTCTTACGCTACATTCCCGACTGTATATTTATTTTTATTTTTTTCTAACAGATTTTATTACCTTTCAACTTATACTCACCATTTTCATATTATTTTTGGATATATTTCCAAATTTTGTTTGACTATGGATTAATTTAAAGTCTTCTGCTCTATTTTGTCATGCAAATAGGTTTGATATTTGTTTTTGCACAGAATATGAATTATACGGTTTCTCCGTACTATAGAAGATGTATGATTAGGTACCTAGTATACAGCGATTCGTTTGGAACTATGAAAAAAAGTCTTATTTTTCTCATATAGCCAATATAAGATGATTAATGGTTGTTGACGAATATATTTATTCGATTTGAAATAAATACCAGTTGATATTTATTGACATTTTCTAAAAGGATATACCAACGCGGCAATGATCATAAATAGACTTTTTACCTATGGTCTTTTTTTTTGTTGCTAAATGTCAATTTACAGTTATTTAAGGCTATAAATATTCAATTTTGGAATCATCTCGTCAATTGTGATCGATATTCTGGGTGATTGGATGCGACCTTTATATGCAAGCCTATTCTATCAGCGCTTGCACACTTAGCAACATCATAGATTTTTGCTCGAAGCGTTTACGAAACAAATAGGAAATCCTTGAAGATTATATTATGTTTGTACACGTGCAATGGTTTATGAGAGTAATAAAAGCTGTTTCTAAGCTTATCATTCTATTCTTTTCTTTTGTTTATTAAGATGTTTACGTTCGATTTTAAATGGAACTGATGATTCTTGAAGACCTTGAAATACATCTTATGGCATATTAACGTGTATCTTGCTTTTTCAGCATAGTTTGCACTATAAACTTCTCTATAATATCTTACTATTATTAGAAGATGAAAGGTGCACCCGGCGAGTCGACCATTTTCTAATTGACGACAACAACTTCGGTCTGATATTTCACTCGTTTTACATAAGAAGAAAATTAAAAATAATTGAAAAAAACGATGGGTTTATATAGAAATCAATTATCATGACATGTATCGAAGTGTGCTATTATGTACGTCTATAATTAAAGACAAATTTCTTATGATAAATATCATACAGGGACAAAAATACATCGTTACACTTTCATTTCATTCGAAGTAAAACAAAAAACTACCTTGCTGCATATGAATTACGAGTTGTCATGAAGATTAAAATTCAGAGACACTTCATGTAATCTTATCTTTATTAAATCGATGGATAACTAATCAGTTTATTTCATATTGACTCAGTATTAGCATTAATTTTTGCAGCTATCGACTATGAAATATATCTGATGATGGTTCTCGAGTTTTTGCTAAAAAGTTCAACAAATAAAGATAAGCTTGTAGAGATCATTCTTGAAAAATTGACTTGAAAACTGATAGAAGACTTGCAATTTCTGGAGCTATCTGATGAGCTGTATTGTGATCAGTAACTCGCAGGTAATGAGAAGTGTGACATTAATGTTTGGGACTCACATTGAAAGATAAAAAACAAGAATTACCGAAAATAAAATTATTTTTTATGGCTGATAAAAACTCTCACTACGAACTTAGATAATTGTATTCATTCTAAGGTCAAAACGGATTGATCTTTACACGCAATCATTGTGTTAATAATATTACATTTTATTTTCGACGTAAAAATTTCCAGTACATTTAAATGTCACATGTAAAAAAAACAGATGAATTTTTTAATTTTAAGTGCGCAGTAGCCTAGAAAAACCGAATGACGTAACTAGCACGAGCACAAAACACTATTATTCAGAAAAGCTAAAGAAGCTCAAATCTAACAATAATCATCGACGCTCTTCAATATCGACCGACGACTTATTGCATAAGATATAGTAGAATAAACTGACATTGGATTATACCTTTTCAATTATTTTTTCACATGCCAGGCTATGATGGTTACCGGGACCGATGACTTGTAAAAAGAAAAGGTTTCAAACTAGTAGAACATTTTTTTAGCAAACATAAAACATAAGACATGATGCGTCATCACATCTAGAGAAATGACACGCTTGTCTTACAAGGATAATTTTTCTATCACTATTTTCTCAGTAAAAAAGAATAAACAAACTTTCTTGTTCTTATAAACTATACATTAGAATCACCGTCTCGAATTTTTATCTGACATAAAAAAGATCGATTGTCAATTTTTGATACAAGAAATTTTTCAGAATACGTTTAAACGATGTGCTTTCTTTTGTGATCGAATCATTTGCGCTAGCGTTCCAAATGCATCGGTTAAACCGTCACCACTCAATGCACAACACGGTATAATATAATATGAACCATCAGGCCATGCCAATAAATTAAGTTTTTCAGCTATATCTTCAGCTGATAGAGCACCATCGGTATCCTGCTTATTAGCTAGAACAATAAGTGGAACATGCGTCATGGCATCATGTTGATAGATGCCTTCTAATTCAGCACGAGCTATATGTATACGACGACTATCAGTCGAATCAATAACGAATACAAGTCCATCAACGTTATCAAAATAATGATGCCACAATGTTCTTAAATGATCTTGACCACCCACATCCCAAACTGTTAATGAAATTCCCCGACATGGAGATATTGTTTCAACATTGAAGCCTTTGATATTCAAACATAATCTATTTTTATATAAAGAAAAGAAAAGAAAAGAAAAGAATGAATTAGCACATACCAATTGTTGGTACAGTGTGAAAATCCTCGGTACGTTTCATTCGATAGAGTATTGTTGTTTTACCTATGTAAAGCTGGATGTTTATTTAAAATTGATTTCACAATTTTCTATACCTGCATTATCTAGTCCAAGCATGATAATACGTTTTGGACCATCAGCAGATACTTTTTTCATAATTTTTGATAAAACTTTACCCATTTCTATGAATATATAAACAATGACAACGATTAATTTTCACTGAGTCGTCGTCGTTCTTGATACAAAATCACGAAAAAGAAAAAAACGAACACATGCATACACACGCGCACTGCCCTGTTAGTATGCACAATAAGTTATGTCAATTATCGTTTTGCAAAACTAAATTTATTCGAATCTATCGTCATATATATATAGATGTGTTGCGTTGGTGTAAAGGACACACAGGTGAATAATGACTATAAACCAATCGGTGAAGTGGTAGCATACCACAAAGTGAGACTATTGTGTATCAGTCAAAAACGTATTAAAGCAAGCGTTCTTTTTGATTAAATATATATAAATATAAGAACAAGGAAGAAAAAGTGAAGAATCGATCCTTTTTATCACATCTACATCAATACATAAGCAAGTACCTCTCGTTGACTCTCCATCGACGCATCATTGTTGCTCCTGTAGAAGAACACGACTACGTTTTTTTTTCTATCGACATAGAGATAATTATTCGAGTCATGTCTACATGGAAAAAGAAGGTGGAAAAAAAACAATAAAATGAGTTTTTCAATAAGCTGAAAGTTCGCTTTTCTTTCTTCGTCGATACGCAGCCATCTATATTACGAAACAAGTCATTTTCAATTAACATTCTCTCGTAAGAAAAAATATAAAAGAAACTTTTTATTCTCAACAATACTATAGGTTAAACCGACTAAATGGACTCAAAGAATTGATCGATGTGAAAAAATGATTCCATCGGAACAACGATGACGAATGGTTTTTAATATAGTATATGTGTAATAGAAAATAGAAGGATGTTTGTCGGATATCAGATTTATTTTCCAACATGACGCTTCGACAGTTCGTTGAAAACAAGATGAGACATAAATCAATATTGAATGTACAGCGTACTTGAAAATATTTTCAATCATTTACATGTCACGAAAAAATCAACTAAGTCACGTCGAATGATAAAATTGAAATCAAGTTATATATTGATTTACTTATATAAATAACAAATATTAAGAGTGAATATACAATTTTATTTTAATTATTTTTCCAAGGGCACGTTTTTTGTACGAAAAACAAATAGCAGCGATGCAGTGTAGACAGTTGAAAAGACTTGTACTTATAAGAATTAGAGTAGAAATCTGTTTTTCTTTTGTTAAACCTTGTTATTGATTTACCTGGTAAAAATATTAGTTATACTAGAGAACATAACTTGAAGAATGGAGTCGTTGATTGATTTTATTCATATTACAGTAGAAATTTATTCCATGACAAAGTCTTTTAACAGCATATTTTTACTGATTTTCTATTATTTATCTTCTTGTCACAAGCATTAACTAGGATTTCAACGGTTTCTATTGCCGTTGTCACGTCTGAAACAAATTAGATATGATATTGTGAGTGGGTGATTATTCTGATGGACCGATGGTAAATCATGGAGTCTATTTTTCAGACTATTGCTTTAAATATATATATATACTGAACAAATTAGAAAAATATTAGAATTATAACTGGAGAAGAGAACTTTGCAACAATTGTTAAAAGCATTTGAACAGAAATTCATACTCTATTCTCTATGTAATTCGTTTGACTGATGATATCATGAGCAGTGAACGTGTCAAATCATTATTTGATTTTTATTTGAAATATCGTACCTGTTGTAAAAAGAAAATATAAAATCTTTAAACACTACAGAAGAGAATCTCGGCGAAGTTCATTCTACTGGCAAAACTACTTGAATCGTTTTGTTTTGCATGACTTCTACTTGTCCTTATCTGTTTCGCACACTTTCATGTATTCATTTGTTTACTTTTTTATACGATCTCTTCCGAATCATTGTTCTCGTTATTACGATCATTTCGGTAATATACATTGATGATAGCTTACTTGTCATTATATAAATGGGATCTTTAAAATTTTTGTCACATAAAAGTTATCTTTTAGTCACGTTAAATCATTCTCACCACTCAAAAGACGTTAATTCTTCTTTCGTTTTTTGTGACTATTGTTTTATTAGCTATCTATGCTTAGCTCTTACGTTGATTTCTTTAGCATAGATTGACAAAAATGATGATTATAACTTAAGAAACAAAGAGGAAACGACGAGAGAGAGAGAGAAGAAAAAAAGAGAATACAATGAGACGTAACAAATTTTTGTCATTGTCGTTTGCCATAATTGTAAGAGAAGTAAAAACGAAAATGTTGATCCTCTCTCAGTTGTACGATCACGTTTTGTGTATATAGTCATCGTCTTAGGACGACCGTCGTATGTATTCCGTTCTCTATTTGAATAGTTGCTTGTTATTTAGCCAGGTCAAAATAGAAGAAGATAGAGCTAGAGAGAGAGAGAGAGAGAGAGAGACGAAAAAGAAGAAGAAGAAGGATATGTACAAATAAAACGAAAGGAAGACTAAAAGTAAAGTCTTCTCGTTCGCACCACATTAATAACAAAGAGGAATGAAGCTCCTCGTACTAACTTTTATACTGCTAACAGCAGTATTTATTCATTCAATAAACAGCCAACAATATGTTGTTGGATGTTACTTTACTAATTGGGCTCAACATCGACACGGCCTTGGAAAATTTCTTCCATCACACATTGATCCGTCTCTTTGTACACATCTCTATTATGCATTCGCTAATGTTGATCTAGCCAATCGAAGTCCAAGTCCATTTGAAGTCAACGATGTTAAACCATCTCCATCAACGGCTCCCGTTATTGTCAATGATGTCGCAAAACCTGCTGTTAATGGCCGTCTTAACGGTCAATTGAAACCACCTATCAAGCAACCACCACCAATGAGCATGTATGAACAATTCAATGCCTTAAAAAATAAAAATCCTCAAATGAAAACATTACTATCATTGGGTGGTGCCAGTGTTAACTCTACACAATTTCGAAATGCTTTTGAACCAGAAAAAACTCGTCGTGAATTCATCCGAAATACAATCAAATATTTACGAACCTATAAATTTGATGGCCTAGATTTAGATTGGGAATTCCCAGAAACCGAAGCTGATCGTCGTATATTTTCTACACTTGTTCATGATTATCGGTTAGAATTTCAAAACGAAGCTTTTCTAACTGATCGTCCACGTCTTTTATTAACAGCAGCTGTAGCTGCTTATCGTCCAAAAATTGAAGCTGGCTATGACGTACGAGATGTCTGTCAATATCTTGATTATATCAATTTAATGGCTTATGATTATCATGGTTTGTTGATTTCAAATGAAAATCTTTTCTTTTAATTCAAGAGAATCTTTCACGTGGGTTTTTGTTTAGGTAGCTGGAATACTCATATAGGTTTCAATAGTCCTCTATATCCACGTTCAAGTGAAAAAGGTGATAAACGTTTGCTTAATCAACAAGCAACTGTTGATACATGGATTGAAAGTGGTTGCCCGGGATCGAAATTAGTTCTTGGTCTTGGTACGTATGGTCGAACATTTGAATTAAAACAAAAGAAAAATGCTGATACAAAACCCTATGGAGCATCGAAAGGAGCTGGTCAAGCGGGTAATTTTACAGCTAGTAAAGGATTTCTATCCTATTATGAAATATGTGATTTAATAAAAAAACAAAAATGGCATACAGAATATGATAAAGAACAACAAGTACCCTATGCATATAAAGAAGGTCAATGGGTTAGTTATGATAATCAAGAATCGATTGAGAAAAAATGTCATTATGTTGCGTCAAAACGTTTAGCTGGTGCTATGATATGGTCACTTGATTTCGATGATTTTAATGGTGCTTTTTGTGCGCAAGGAAAATATCCATTATTAACAAGAGTTAAAAGAACACTTGACAGTCTTCAAGGACCAACAACACCGATACGAATTCACAAAACCACACAAGCAACAACAGCAAATTGTGGTTATTCATACAATTATTCGTTTTTTCTTTTATCGATCAATTATATTTTTCCGATATTTATTTATCATTTTATTTGACAGATTGTTTGTGTTTGAAAATTTTATCTATGTTTGATTTCGAATCTCACTCGAAAAATAATGTCTTTCTATTTTATCAAACAAATAGATGAACATTTGGCTTCTTGTAAATTCAAATGTACAAAAAAGAAAAGAAAAACATCAACGATCCATTCAAGTTATGAGTTTCTTATTTTCAAGACTTTATTATATGAAATTTTCTCTTTTCCCGTCATCCGTTGGCTAAACAAATATCATGATTGTTCAGTAAACAAAATCGACTAGATTTAACTTGATCATTGATACTCGAGCTTTTATTTGTTCAGATGAATAGCCGATTAAGTAGACATGTTTAAAAACATACAGATGAGAAGATTTTAGAATATCCGATTATCTTATAAATCGAGCGAATTCTTTTTTTGTTTTGTATTTGATCAGAAAGTAAAAATTTCGACCTCTAAAAAGATTATCATAAACGTGTAAAATTTGTAATACGAAACAAAAGAAAAAAGATTAGCCGTCAAGGTCTCTGCACAAACTCATAATACGTTCGCTTCACTAAAGAAAAATTTTCGCAGCTTTTTCTTGTCTTCAATAAGTATTTAATGCATTAACTAACTGCAAATTAACTCTGAGAAGAAGAAAATTTTCTTTTTCTTTTTTCTTTCGTTCTTTAATAAAAAATATTTTTATTTTGATGTATTTACCTCCAGCGAAAAAAAATATACATATCATTTTTATTATTATTGAATTGTTGTAGAGAAAAACAAGCTGTTTTTTCACGCAGCAACACCATGTATAATAATAACAAATTTAAATGCATCTGTATCGATTTCAACTGAAAGTACATCATCCGTTCGATGATTCCATAGGCATCGACTCATTATTACAATACTGCTTTCATCTTGTTTAGGATACGATATGACTTGTATAATAGCTTTATAATTATCTTTTACGTGTTGTGCAACAATTCGTTTTAACATTTCAGTTATATCGTGTGTGAGTTTTCGGACAGCATTTTCTTCAACATGATCAAGCTGTTTAATATGTGGTAGATCAAGTAGTTGACTAACTTGATCTTTGATTAACTAAAACAAAAAAAAGGAAAAATCAGAATTTATTGATAAGATTTAATTAATTACATACAACACTGAATAGATTATCGCCAAATTTAACTGGAACACCATCAGAAGGTACACTGATCATTGGTTCTTTATTGACATTAGTTCGATGAGAATCTTCAATAAAGATAAAGTTTGATTTTTTTTATATCATAATAGAGATAAAAAAAAGAAACGAAAAAAGATAGGTATACTATTATCAATTGAAGTCAATTGTGAAACTCGTTGGTTATTTCGACTTGATGGTGTTGAGGACGAAACTGATACATAAGGGGCAGCGACACTTGTGGCCATAGTAGATGATATAATTTCAAAATCGATAAATAATTATGCTCGATTGATCGAGGGATTTTTCTTTTTGTATTCGTTAATGTGTCAAGTGCGACGCGTAGTAGTATTGAAATACCAAAAAAAAAATATGCTAGCTTATACCACGAGTCTCATTTTTCTTTCTATTATGGTTCCTCTTTACTTGCTGGTATGTGTTTGCATGCGCTTACGTAGGTGAGGAAGAACAGGTAAGAAAAACAAGAAAAGAGAGCAACGTCTAGCAGTGTAAGTCGCTTTAAAGCAACAACAATTATCGTTAGCAGAAGCGACACGCACATGAAGCTGATAGAGGAAGGGAAAAATGTGTTATAATTAGTTTTTCTTTTACATATTATAATATATAGAGTTAACAATCTGCTACTGACAGCCGTATAGAACGTCAGACATCTGACATCTTTATGTAGAGAAATGAAATGCAGTACCTACTCGACTGCTGCAATTGAACTATTGTATGAACAATCGCGCGTCTTGTATTCAAATAGCGATAAATTTTATCATTAAATCTACTAGAATAATGAAACTTTCTTTTTTTTCAAAGGCATCTGTTGCAATACTATTCGATTATTGAGGTCAGCTGAATAATAGTAACAAAAAGAAAAAAGAAAAGAAAAGAAAGGTTATCAGATGAAGACAATGCACGAATGTTAATGACATGTGTAATAAAATGGTAACACTTAAAACTATGACCATCGTATAAGAGACTTGAGATGAAGAATAAATCTTGCTTTTTTTTCTTAAATACAATATCGATCTATGAATAGGCTATGAAAGATTTTTAATTTTATTAATTAAAATGAAAATCAATCTTTTTTCTTTTAGGTTTACATATAGAATTGCTTCCTGTGGGACTTTTTTCAATAAGATAATTATGTGAAAGTCATAGTATTGTAAAAGATCATAAATCTTTCTATTCAGATTCAACAAGTGTTGCTTTTGTTTTTAGCTCAAAAGAATCTTTTGAATAGAAATACTTTCAGTTACTTACCTATTTATTTTTGTCACAAGCAATATTAAAATGTAAATTACGAAGAATTTCTTTTTTCAAATTCAACCATAGAGTAAATATTTTTCTTTCTGCCACAAAATGAATGATTTACTTAAAATCGGTGCAGACGAAAACATTCTAACAACTGTTCATAGTTTTAAATTTCTTTGTAGATATGAAGCACCTGATTTGTATCCATATCTATAGTATACCTTTCAAGTAGTTCTGAGACTATTATCGCATGGCATTTTGCGGTAAATATTCAACAAAAGAGAATTAAAACTAGCTCTTTCGGTTTAGTTGAAATTTCATGTTGTTATTTAAAACAGTCTGGATCAGACTACTGCTTTTTTTCATGTCACTTACATTCTCTATAAGCAGATTAACAATGATAGCTGCTCACTAAGAACTACTGCATGAACGTGTCAAAATTTTAGGCTTCGAAAGGTTTCCTTGTCGATGCTTAACAAAAAAAAACATTGTATTTCTTACTTATTTTCAGAATGCAGTTATGAACTTTAGTCTCTGATGTTCTTTATTTCAAACAGGTAAATTAGTTTTTCAATTTGATCTAAAGTCTATTTTTATAATTAACGGACATTGAAATTCATTGAAAGAAATTTGTATTAAAACCTTTTAAAATTAGTACGAGAGCGATGTTTCAAATTGAATCATATACTGGTCATTGAAATTCGACGAAATATAATGCTCTATCTTTCATTACTTGAATGCATCTTTTCAAGTAACAGAAATTTATTTTTTTTTAGTTTTTCCCAGGTCAAATACGTACGGCGGGAAACACTCTGATCCGGTGATTTTCCATTGAATTCCGGAAGCAGTATTCCTAAAAGTGTTCCGGTCTCCGTTTCCAGAGTATTTCCCGCTAACTCTTGATTCCGGAACCGATAAGCACATACGGTTTCCGTTTACAGCAGGATTTCGTACTATGTTTCCGATGGTTTCCATTTACAGTAGGATTCTGAAGTATTTTTCCGATCGTTTCCTTTTGATGATCGGAAACGAGGGAATATGAATAGTTTCCAATCTAGATACGTAGCCAGGATCTGGCCGTTTTTAATCCAGATATGGAATCCGGATTGCGCCATTCCAACAACCGGATCTGGCGAAAAAGCACTATTAGATGTTTCCTTTTTCTAATTGAAAACAAATTTGTGAATTTCAAGGATCAGTACATATCTCTTATTTGAAGTACGAATCTGCAGAATTTCTGCTTAGAGTTGGATTGAAACTGACTTTCCAAAAAGCATCACAGAAACTCGAGTAAACAACATTTTTATATTGAAATCAACAGATGAAGGAATTTAACTGGATTTTATTGTTGAGTTTGTCACATCAAATCTTTACGATATAGTGTTAATCTAACTGATTTTGATTGATATTACATATAACCTAATGTATTACCAATTACTTTTGGTATAAACCTCATTAAAATTGGATTACCGACATGGAATATAAATAGGATGATCACAGTTTAATTGGTCATATTTTCGGTGACCGTTCAATTCGTCGCATATATAGGAGAGGATACATTAATTGAATTAAGATATTTAGTGTAGAATGTTATTTAATTAATCACTTTGACAAATGTTTTTCTTCAGAGAAGAATGACTATTTCTTGATAATACTTTTTTGAACAATAGAGATCTGAGTTTACAGGTTTTTTAAAATTGAATTAGCTAGAATTTAAATGTCAAAAACTCAATGGAATTGAATTAAAATTATATAGAAATAATGTTTTTTATTCAATAATTCGTAATAATGCAAATTAGTTATTGTTATTTGGAAAAAAATATGACTTAAGCAGTAACACATAAGAAAAATAAGAAAATCTAGTATTTGACTTATACATGTGTTGATAAAAATCAAAATTCTTCAACAAATCATACATGATTCCTGAAATTCAATCTTCTGTATTCCAGAAATAATCGACAACATTTATTTCTTAACACAATTTGTAGAAAATGTGAAACGAGAATTTGAAATACTCTCAATAAAGTCTAAACCAACCTTGATCATCTTTTCTTAAAATTCTTTCCAATTTAAATTTCAACAATTTTAACTTTAATTTTAAACTTTCAATTCTAATTTTTATGAAGGTTTAAAAATTTATTCCTCCATCCAATAATTTTTTTAAATTTCAATCTTCGGAGCATAAACGTGAAGCCCACTTTGAAAATGTTTGAACCACTTTATTCACTAACCGAGCACCTTTACGTATCACAGAAAACTGTCCCAGACAGTACTGAACGACTTATATACTTAAAAAACAGTGAAATTTGCTTTCATTGATTTCTTTTGTAGATGAGTATTTCATCAGAATTTATCCCCTTAAAGGACTGGAATCCTATTTATCATCAGACTCTTTGTATTTTAAGAGAAATTTCTTTAAGAAATCGTTTCAGAAGTAAATTATTGCTTTTTTTTAAGCGCATCTTATACCCCTCATGTATATCTAATAATTCAATAACAGCGTATACAATTTACATGATTAATTAAATAACATTCTACATTAAATATCTTAATTCAATTAATGTATCCTCTCATATATATGCGACGAACTGATCGCAACGAATTGTACTAGTGCCATACTTTCGTATGTGTTTACTCAATCTACTACTATTAAGATGGTTAGTAAAGGAGTTCAAATTTTATTTTTATTTTCTCACGTTATGTGTGTAACATTTTAATATTTTTAAGTAATAGCTATCAACAATTATAAAACCTAGGGCGAATGACAGCATTTTTTTACATCGAAATAATTGCTCATATCTTGTATATTTGTGTCTAAATCGATTAACACTTGATAACAGTTTGAGGTAGATCATCATTTTATATAGTCATGTAGAAGTACAAAAAGTAACATCGAAATAGATCAGAAAAATATTTTTGATTAATTGTTAATTCGAAAGGAATCTATTATAAGAAATACAAACTTTAAAAATGAAATCATTGTGTGTATCCACACCCTTAAATTGGATTATAACCTAATGCAGAAACTTTACAATAAGTATCAAGTGTAATGAATTATTTTGTGTGTTAATGTTGAAGTTCGTAACCAACCTTTGCTGATCTGCATCGTTTGTAATCAATTTTATATTAATAATGATTTCATCATGATTCAAATACATGTCAAAGTTATTGATTGATAGAGCTTGTGTTGTTCTATTATTTTGTAATGAAATGATTAAACGCTACCAATAATTCCATTTGAATATTGCTCGAATACTCAACAACTTTGGTGGGATTTTTGTCTAATATTTTTAATTTTTGAAAGGAAAACAAAATACTCATTGAAACCGTGGTCAATTAAAATAGAACGAATTGATAAGATATTTAGATCGTATGACGATGGATTTTTTAGCTATTTTGAGATTTAAATTGGTTTTAATCTAGTTTTTACAAATAAAAAATCGGCTGATGTGGTATTATCTTTAATAGACTTCGAATTCCAAAAAAAAACAGTATTAACAATGTAATCGATTTGCAATTCATTAAAATTAATCGTGATCTTTTCTACTCTTCACTCTAATCAATGCATAATGTCTGTCAAATACATGAATTTCATTTTAATTCGAGAAGAACAAACACATATAGTCCCATTTCCATTTTAAGATGATCTGACAGCAGCCATCAATAAATGGTAAACTTTTGTGTCGTTTCTTATGATCCATCAAAGCAGGCGGCACTTCTATGACAGCGACAGGGGTAACCACAATCTCTTTTGCCATATTATTCCAAATCTAGAACTATTAAAAAGTATTTTGACGTCTAAATAACAGAGAATGTAAATTTTGTGAAACTTTTTTCAAGAAGTAGAGGATGGCTGATAAATTTCTTTCCTTCAGAATCGCGCTAAATACATCCTTGTGTTTATATGCAGCTTGACTGATTTGTGGCATTTTATGCATTTCCATGGCTTTCTAGGAATTTCGAAATACATTGGAAAGCATTAGACATTTTTCGAACCACAAAAATTCGGAAATACAGATCTTTTTTGTTCCCTTTCAATTCTCACCTGCGTACACCTGATGGTAGCGCACATTAACGAGCTATGCAAATCACACTGTATGTGACCCACTGTATCTTGACTGGCATATTTTTTTCTATATATTCAAGCAATATGTTACCGAAAGGGAATTATCACTTAGGAAGTCTCTTAAGGGTATAACGAACGCGCAGCTCTCCAGATGTCTTGGCAGTGACAATGAAGACCTTCAAGAACTTTCGCCAGTATTCGAAAGACTTTTCAGAATTTCGTAAAATTTTTGTATCGTTTTTCAAGACTTTTTTTCTGATTTCTTTATATATCGGGATATTTCTACCTTTCACTAACAGAAAGCCTCAAAAACAGCTTGTCTAATCAGATTACACAACATGGGCTATTCAGAAATAGATGACATTGCTCCGATAAATGGAACAGCACGCACTAATATAACTAGTTCATTCTAATAGTACCACTTTTAGCAGTAATATGGATCGAACATTAACTAAAATCATAATAAAAATTCAATCAGCAGTAGCTATGTGGTCAGCTCATCATCACTATGGTAGATCATTGCCAATACAATTGAAAGTACTTTACACGCCTGATTTGTGAGTTATATGTGAGAATTTTAAACATCTTTCAAATCTATTTCAAGAAAGATTGGGAAAAGATCAAATCGTTTGAATTGATGTGAGATTATATTTATTTCACCCTCACATTCAGAATAGACTCAGTCATAGGGAAACAAATATGACAAAAGACTCCATAAGAAAAATGTCGTATCTGTGTCTCGCTTTGAGTTTATAAAAGCATTCTATAATAGATAAGCAAGATAAACAAGAATCGGACTGCTTCAGCATCATTATAAATTGTCTTCTATATATTTCGTATTCGTTGACTGTGGACTGCGGCACTTATTTATGCACGTCGCTAATTAGAACATCCAACTCTTGTTTGGAAAAAATGAAAATACTTGTATTATACATACTGATCGGGACACAGATCCTTCCCAATTCATAAACTAAAAGTAAAGTAAAAAGTTTTAGCCCACTTCACAATTAAGAATATAGACGGCAATGGGAATTCAACTTACGCGTTTATCTAAGTACTTTCACAAATAAAAAAGAATCATACATTTATTGCTACACACTAATATATCCTCCTAACTGAGTCTTAATCGAGCAATACATATCATTACATACATAGATACCGAAAGAGAAAAGTACCTTCCCGTCCTTCTAAGAAACATCAATGATGGGTCTTTGATTGAATAATCGTTGCATATTTCAACTAATTATATGTTCACGTAGCAGTTCATCATATGATCACACTGACCAATGAACCATTTTAAAACGCCGTCCTCAATTCGCTAGTAACACTTGCTAGAAAAAAAGTTCGTAAAAGTAAACATATTTTGTGTTTCTTCTCCTCTTATACCTTCTACTTAAGGCAATTTGAAGTCTTCCTCGATTTGATTTCAGGTGAAAGATCTTGAACAAGACACACTAAATTCCAGAGTATTGTATCATTTATCGCAATTTATAATGCTGGCGGTTCGATTATGAAAAAGACTAACAATTAGAATTTGTCGCAAAAAAATGGTCCCGCTCCATGTGCACGCTATTCATTCGCCGATTTGTTTTGCAGAAAGATCTCTATATAAGCAACTTCACTTAGGATAGAACACTTAGAGATTTTCATCAAGATTATTCCCACTTATCTCTTCACCAGCTACCACTCTCGATACATGATCTTCGGCGTTCCTTCTGGCTAATTAAACGATAATTAGGGTATTTCAAAGTCTCACTCATTAATATTAAAAAAAAAAGATCTCTCACGGTAACAACTAAGCAAAATCTTGCCGAACATACCTATTTCATGCTTAAGTGTTGTAAATCCGCTAAAGAAAATTTGACGCAGATAAATTCAACTGATTCTTTGTACTGGCTACCAATTCACCGTAGTATTTTATACTAAAAGCTACATATATGCGACACGATTCAACACCCGAACTTTACAAGTTTTTCATCCTATTTTTCATTCTCCTTTATTTATTCAACACCAAAAACTAGTATCAACTCATCAATGTCAATATTCTATACCTATCAAATGCACTTTAACCAGGTATCGCAAAGCATAATTACCAACATTTCAACGGTAGAGCCATTGAAAGCTCTTCCTCCCAGAATAACTCTTATCTGAGATATTTAACGATCTAATTCATACCGTTTCAAATAGAAATGTCTGAAAAAAACTCTAAGTCAATATCTTCGATTTGAAGTATTTGAAAGTCCCCTTCACTGACTTTTATCTAGAAAGATCATTGAAGACCTTTCTGGGTCCATACCACTTGTTTGAGCTTTTTTTCTAAGTCCCTTTTTTCTGCTGCAATCAGAAGGATCACTAAAGATCTTCCACATTCTATCATTTCAATTTCAGATATTTGAAAGTCCGGTTCATTGCATTTCTTCAAAAAGAATAATCAAAGGTCCCTCTTGTTCAATATCCCTCCTTTCAGATATTTTGAATTCTCCATTCTCCCAATCAAGCATGAAACACGCTTGAAGGTCCTTCTCAGTCACTACCTTCCATTTGAGGTAATAGAAAAGAATATTTCTTGCACTTTCTCTACAAGGACCCTTGAAGACCCTTCTTCATGAATACCACTTATTGCAAGCATTTTGAAGTCTCATTCGTCGCAATTTACCAAGAAAATCCTTTAAATGTTGTTCTATTTATGAAAAACATCAAGGACACTTCGAAATATCTCCAATAAGAGGTATTGACTAAAAAGGGATCTTTAAGGATCCTTTTTGACAAAAAGCGAATGAATGCTGCTTTCAAACACCTCAAATGGAAGGTAATGAATTAAAAAGACCTTTAACCGTCTTCCACGATCGATTTCGAGGAAGGAGTCTTTGAAATACCTGAAGTTTGTATTGGTGAGCTTGGGATCTCTCCGGGTTTGCTATGGTATAGTGAATAATTGTGAAGCAGTGCGTGAGGTTATTGGCATTGCTGAAGCTGGCTGGTAGTTTAGTTAGTTGGGGATGTAACTATCAAGGATGAAGAGGTGTGGCGGTGTCGGGAAATCTGCGCAAAATCTGAGGAAGATTGGAAGTTCCGGAATTTTCCCAGGTGGAATCGGTCGAATTTAGATAGTTCCGTCACGTTTTTCGTTTGTATTCCTTGTTATCGCGGGTCGGTTCTGGGAATTTTTCCTAATGGTTACGGTTGCGGGAATAGTGAGGAATACTCCGGTTACAACTCGGTGGTTCCCAAGCGGAATACTGCTTCCACCTTCCGGATAGTTTTCCGGTTCGTTTCCGGTGGAATGCCCTTGGAAATCACCGGAAGTATCGGGAAAGTACACCATTTCCTTCCGGAGTCCAGAACCATCGACCTGGGTTATCCACAAAGTGAATATCTCCATTGCAAACACAAAAACGAAAATAAAACTAACAAAATCTTTGTACTTGTTAGACAAAGAAAAAAATGCATGTCGAAAGAGTCATTCAACGATAAGCAAGACAGAAGAGAAGACATCCAACGCAATTACACTCAAGTTGGATGTGGGTGAATTTATCAGTGACTGTCAGCGAAGTAAAAATAAACAAAAGCATTTGACGGGGCGAAATATCAATAAAGAAAAAGATAAGAACCAACTATATCAATAGAAATAGTAGTTGCTGCCTAAATAAGAAAGCACTTCTTACAATTCTCGATTATTGATCAGTTAACAAAACCTAGTCCCTATGAGCAGAACAAATCCCAACCCAACCATTACAACATCAACAGTATCATTAAATGCCATACAGCCAAGACGTCGTACGGCTCAAAATTATTTGGTTATCTGGGTAGATGGGAACATTGACAAGAACAGCGAAGACTGCCGGAATACGCTGGCACAATTGCGCGCAGTGGTAAGTGAAGTGAAACTGTGCACGACACCTGAATACTGTGTCGAGTTCCTCAATGAAATGGATGAGGGGAAAGCTTTCATCATCTCATCTGGTGCTTTAGGACAAAGTTTTGTAAATAACATTCACGGTATGTCTAAAGTGAATGCCATTTATATTTTTTGTGGCAACAAGGCGCGCCATGAGCTGTGGGCAAAAGAATGGCAAAAGATTCGAGGTGTTTTCACCTCAATCAAACCAATATGTGAATCGCTCAAAGAGGTCGCCCATGAGTGCGATCATAATTCAATTCCGATGAACTTCGTTCCGAAGCGATGCACTCCAGATGCAGCATTCAACGAGCAAAAGCTTAATCAGTTACCACCAGCTTACATGTACTCGGTGGTTTTCAAGGATATTCTATTAGAAATCGATGATGATGACACTAAATCTATGAACACCTTGGTGAAATTTTGTCAACAACAAAATATTCCTGACGCAGAAATAAATGAATTTAAGCGTAAATACCATCAGAAATCATCGGTCTGGTGGTATACATGTGGAAATTTTCTCTATTGTATGCTTAATCGTGGGTTACGTTCCCTTGATCTAGAGGTAATGACAAAATTAGGTTTTTTTATTCGACATCTACATCGTCAACTGGAACAGTTGCACCAAAAACAGTTGGTAAATTTCCAGCAAATATTTACCGTTTATCATGGTCAGGGGCTCAGTCAACAAGACTTTCAGAATCTAGTTGATATGAAAGATGGTCTGCTTCCGTTCAATAATTTCCTATCAACTAATATGAAAAAAAACGTGGCATTGAAAATTGTTGAACTTGCTATGCAAGAAAATCCATATACTGTTGGTGTTATTTTTATTATGACAATAGATCCAAGTAAAATATCAACTTCAAGCACTCCATTTGCAATGATCGATGAGTGTAGCGCTTCTCCAGAAAAAAAACAAATACTTTTTACGATGCACACCGTTTTTCGTGTCGTTGAAATTAAACAGACGCCTAAAAATAGTCGTCTTTGGGAAGTACAATTGGCTATTACTGATGAGAGGGATTCGCAGCTTTCTGCACTTACCAATCGTACCAAAGAGGAAATTCAAGGCTCTAATAGATGGCAACGAATGTGTAAATTGATGCTCAAAGTGGGACATTTCGATCAAGCTGAAAAACGTTACAGCGAATTACTCGAGAATTTTGCCAATGGCAGTGATAGAGCACATATCTATCACCAACTTGGATGGTTGAAAAACGATCAAGGTAAATACGAAAAAGCAGTTAAGTTCTACAAAAAGCATCTTCGAATCAAGCGGAAAACTCTTTCAGAAGATGATGCTTCTTTGGCTAATACTTATAACAGCATTGCTGGAGTGTATGACAACATGGAAGAATATTCTAAAGCACTTGAATTTTACCAAAAATCACTGAAAATAAGTGAAAAGACTATGCCTCCGAATCATCCCGATCTGGCTACTTCTTACAGCAACATCGGTCTAGTGTATAAAAAGATGGATAAATACTCGAAAGCACTTTCCTATCTAGAAAAGGCGCTGATTATTTTACGAAAGTCACTTCCTTCCACACATCCTAGTATCAAGAACACGATGGCTGGTATAGAAGAAGTGAAAAAGAAGTTGTAAATGTTTATTTCTCTAGTATTCGTTTAATTAAATAGTTTGAATGATTATTAATTAATATTCACTAGTCGTGCGCGCGACCAAGAAGAGTCCCCCATGGTCATGAAACGGGTACACATAGAGTGGACCACGCCAGACTGGTAGGGCAATGTACACAAGGTATGATGTACAAAAACGACGACAGTGGCGTAATGTGCATGAAAAGGCCTTCCTGGTTCTACACTATTTCGCCGTTTCTAGTAGCAATGAATGGCTCTTCTTTTTTTTTGTATTTTTACTTTAATTGTAATTTCGTCGAATAGTTTTTGTGAACAATCTAAAGAAAACAAATTACGAGTGATTCATTGTTTGAATTTATTTGAAAAGAAAAGAAAAGAAAAATAATTATAATTGCATTGTAATTTGACATCATTATGATACCGAGTAGCTGTCTAATTCGAGTTCGAATATAAATGGAGAAAATAAAAAGTTAAACTAAAACTAAATTTATTCCTAGATTTAGTTTTAGTTTAACTTTCCGATATATGCGACATATGAATACATAAATACCCTTAACCCGCACTCATATTTGAGCATTCCTCCATGGCTATCACCGACAACCACATTTGAAGTATCCCGGATATCTCCTCTATGCACCCCTTCCGGGTACCCTTCACCCACACTCACATTTGAAGTATCCCGGATACCCGCGCACCCATTTCGGGTACCCTTCACCCACATCCACATTTGAAGTATCCCGGATACCAATGCACCCCTTTCGGGTACCCTTCACCCACACCCACAGTTACCCCTTAGTCGCCCGCAACTCACACCCACTCCATCTTAAACTAAATATAAAACTAAGTCTATTTCTATCACTTATTTTAGATTTGATACCATGCAGTTGGGTGTCCATTTATATTCGAATTCGAACTAGGCATCTCGTGAGCAATTTCTCGACTCTTGTCAGAAATGAAACAAAATAAAATTATTATGCTAATGCAGAATATTCACAATAAGGTCATGTTCAATACCTTACCAATGAAATACTGTAATTTATGGACTATATAGTTCTCATATTTAGGTATAGCAAGGAAAAATTGTGTATTGCTGTTCAGATCATGATTTGTAAATATCTAATGCTAAAAGAATACAATCGCTACTTTGGTACCAAAGTAGTTTTAAAACAGTTTCCATTATGAAAGTTTATGAAAATACTTCAGGCTGAAAAGTTCAATATGTGCAATAGAATAATTTGGATAGATTAATGTTGCTGAATTAAAATCAATGAAATGATTCTTCGACGTATTATATTGTAATTGATGATAGGATATAAATAACATGAACGAAACTCGTTAAACCGACAATATAAAATGCGTTGTTTTCATATTTTCACTGAACTTCATTTTTTCGAATGAAAAATTTCTCAAACTCTCATAAACGAATAATATAAATTTATATTCATACAAGAAAATGACATTAATGATTATCAACAACAGATTTTTAAACACAAGCAATCGTTAAAGAAAAGAGAACACGATTGTAAAACACAATGAATCACATAGACGAATAACTTTAACTTAATACAAAAATAAAGAATTTTCTTTCAATAAAACCATGTTTGCATCTATTTTTATAATTATTTATACTGGTAGAACAAGAATGAGTTTGAAACACTGAAAGATCTCCTTAGAGAAAATTTTATGCACACTTCGTGATTTGGTTTATTGTTATCGATCTCTAACCTCTTTCGTGGATGAACTATTTTTATTATTACTGTGGACAAAACATTGAGCGAGACATTTTAAATTACTTTACCTGTCCAACTGTATGTCTTCTTAGTCGACACTACGAAAGGATCAATGGATCATGAGGTGCTCAGCATAACTTTATTGTTATTCACTGCTGATTCGTATATACAATGAACGACCAGGTTGGAATATAAGACTACTCATCATAAAATAAGTATCACACCTCTACTTCTTTTTCGCGCTAATAAAATTGAACAGACTCTTTCATGAAATTCTATATGTTTAGGTCGACATTTATATTCTATTGATGCAAACAATTGAAAAAAATATAAATAAAAAGCAGAGGGCATGCTGCTAGTTGAATTTACAGTGTTGTTCAATTATGTTTGATTTTGGCGCACAAAACAAAAAAACTATCAATAGAACTTCCATTTATCAACTATGTAATCTTATTTTACGACAATGATGTCAACTTCCACGTGAACACATCGTCAATGTAACACTTGTTGATTTCGTTTGAATATTATATACTTTTCCTCAAGGCATATAATTACATATACAGCATGTCTTGAGCAAATCCAGTGATATGAAATTATTTTATATTCAAAAACTAATTTGTTTTCTTTAAAGATAATATCCTACCGAGATTTCAAGAATGGTTTATGTAAGAATTACAAGGTAAAAAAGAGCACACTTCATAATTTCTAATTTAATTACAATGCAAATACATTTAATGATTTATTATTTTAAGAAAATCTTAAAATGAAGTGCTCTAATCCAATCTGTAAATTTTATGGAGAAAAATTCAATTCAACGATAGGACATGACCAACACAGACAAAAAAGCCTGCACTTTGTTTACTGCAAGAAACTAGTTAAACGAAAAAATAGAAAATGAATATAATTTCAACTGAGTTGTATAAGTTGAACGCATCGTTTTCTTAATCGACTGCCAAAAAAAAGGGATTCTTGCTGGTGAAATTCAAACATTAGAAAACGAGCTTTCACAAAAAAATGAGTAATTTAGATTCTTTGCTCCTAGATAATAATTTTAAATTTATTCACACAACAAATAGGAGAACATTCTTTATTACTTCATTTAGATCGCAGCATTGGTAGCTAATCATTTAATTGTGTTCAATGTCAGTGGTAACAAGGCGACAACGATAGCAGAGTAATGTTTTCTTCGTTGACAGAACGTATTCATAATCTCGAAAAACTAACAACTCCCTAATTCGCCGAGCATCAACATTTTGCGCCATACTTATTTTAGAATTTCTAGCATATGAAATAGATAGAAACGATAAAATATCATATATTTGAGAACAATTGAATCCCAGAGTCGATTTGAAGAGCGACAACTGGTCTGTGTTTCAGAATATGTCGCGAATGAAAGCAACGGTTTCATTTTATATGAATTTACAATAAATGAATAGACACAATTTTCATAGTATCGCTTGATACTTTTTCTATGACGAATGAATTAGATTATATTCGTGTAGTGTAATTAATAAATCGTAACTCTAATTTATCATAGAAACCTCACAGACACGAACGTGTTACGAGAATAGTTGAAAATTTTTAATTTGGACAAGATATAAAAACAGTAACGAAGCAATACCAGAACAGAAAAGACAAACATACATTAATTTATTCACTTCCATTTTATTCATCACCAATTGTCTACAATATACGATCTCGGTTTTACTTAAATGAGCACGGAAACACTCGACGTACAACACACGCATGTCACTGTTTTATTAAATCACGGTTGATTTTGATAACATGCCTAAGGCATCGTTACCAGACTCATTTGACCTCAATCCTAGATTGAGATGTGGCCCACACATCCACATCTGCACGAAGTTCCATTGCTGAGATCACCGCATCGCATGAAAAGCAGAATGTGATTATGAATACTAGCGACATCCAACATAATGTAGTACCCTTTTTCTTAATGGATACTTATTCTTCACTTATAAGTTATAATATCCTGTTGCAGCAGATGAAGTCAATGACTCGACTTTTACAAATCGATTTCTAAAAAAAGAAAAGAACAATTATCTTTCTATCTAAATAATGTGTAATCATCAACAATTATTTATCACTTATTTATATGTCGTCCTTTCGTTTTTTGTACATTTATCTGCATCTCGACACCCAGGTCATCTGAAACCATTTGGCTCATCTGGTCCATTTCGACAAATCGATGAATTGACAGATACATTTCCTGATCCAATAGCATTCTTCGATCAATATGTTTCCAAGTTACGTCCTGTCATATTTCGTCAAGCTATTAAAAATGATCCTCATCTATCATTGTGGAATAAAGATGAAAATTTAAAAGAAATATTTTTAAACAATAATGAAATAGTTCATATTGAAACAAGTAAAAAAGAAAGTCGACAACAAGATATTTTAAGTATGACAATGACAGAATTTCTAACACGATATCAAAATGAAGAACTCTATCTTGTTGAAGAAGTACCAAATATATTAAGGTTAAATTTGAAAGAAAATAATTCGATTAAAATAATATCACATCTTTTGCATATCTTAGACCTTATTTTACTCTCCCGACGTGTCTTCAATGTAAACCAGCCCTAGAAACATTCCAAGTTGCTGTAAGTTTACTTTAATTAAGCACACAAAAATGATTACTAATTTATTCTACTTGCAGATGTTGTGGTTTAGGTAAGAACGACCCATCAGTTGGTTTCATCTATTTTAAATTTATACTCTTTTAAAGCTCAGGCAATACATCATCTGTTGTACATACCGATGACTATGATAATATTAATTGCGTTTTACAAGGTGATAAGCAATTTATTCTGGTCGATCCATATATATTCAAAGAAGTTGCTTCTGAGGTTTGTTTTCGAGATGTGAAAGAATTCTTTCAAGCATTCGTAATTTAGATTATTGACAACTATTCTGGTTCGTACTCATCGATGGATGTCGATCAGTAAGATTATTCTTATGAATAAATCATTTCAGTACTCTTTCATTTAGAGTTGACTATAACAAATATCGTTCACTTAACAATGATACACTGTATTATTATCAAGTTAATTTAAGCAAAGGCGATTGTTTATTTATTCCGTATGTATGGATCCATCAAGTTCGATCAAAGAATCGTAATATAGCTGTCAACTATTGGCTTGATCATGAACGCGTTAAAAGAGCGATTGTTGATAATAATACTTGTCAATTAACAAGTAAATCGGATTTCGTAAGACTTGATACATTACAATGGCCAAACCAAGAAACACCCAATATTGAATATTTAAGAAATTTTATGCTTGATCTTGTTGATGAAGAATTTCGAAATTTTAAAGAATGGACAAGAGAATTTTCAAAAGTAAATAAACAATTGTTTTTGAAAATTAACACTTCTTGTTTTTCCTTATTCTTTTTTGAGAATTTAAATTTTGATCTTCGATCAGATGTTGAAACGATTACACTTTTCGCTGAAGTAATTTTATCGTTTCTTTGAATTAAAAGGAAACGATAGATAAACTATTTGTGTTTAGTTCTTTAATGTGATTGATGTAAACGAAAATGGTTTTGTTACTACGAATGAAATCGATTATATTTTTGATAACGATGTAAAACAATATTCTATCTGTAATAAAAATTAACTTTTTTTTCCAAATTTTAGAAAATAACAGAAGCTTATGAAATTCTTCAAGATATTTTGGATATTGTTGACAGGAAATTAGAAAAAAGCCAACGAACAACGAACACATCTATAGGCAATAGTGATGAAGATGATATGTTTAGTGATGATCATAGTATTAATGGGACATTGTCCGGTGATGAAACTGAAGATGAAGATAATGAACATGACGAATTATAGCCGAAATTTATTTATGGCGCTTAGATATATAATTTTATTTTAGCTTCGCTTTTACTTTATAACTGTGAATTCAGTTTCCTGTTACAGTTTTAGAAAAATCTCATTTTTTTTAAATGGTTTTAGATGAATACATTAACTGTGATACTATTGGTGACTATAAATCACTTAGCATATGCTACAAATCAAAATCCTGGTCATTTAAAACCATTTGGTTCCGTAGGATCTTTACTTAACATCAGCGAATTGTATAACGAATTTCCAACAGTAGTAGAATTTTTCACAAATTATCTTCCAAAATCAGAACCCATCGTTTCTCGTCAAGTCCTAATTAATGACAAGGATTATTCTGTATGGCAAACAGATGAAAAACTTGAAAACAATGTTTACGGCTTATCAACTTTGAATATTAAAGTTGAAACATTCAAATCAAAACAACGAAAAAAAGTTCAAATGACATTTGGTGAATTTTTAGATCGATATGGAAAAGAACCATTATTGTTTGTTAATCCCGTACCGACAATTCTTCAGTAAGAAACTTGGAAATGTCTATCAATCTTTCTGTTGACATGTGTCATCACATGTTGTATGGCTCTTTATCTTATTAATTATAGTCTGAGGATATATACGAGAAAAGATACGAAGGATGAAAGACATATACCTTTATGTCGTCATAAAAAAAATTCGACAGAACTGAAAAGTTGAATTACGTATTTTCAAGGTTTGTATTATTTTGTAGAAAATATCTTGTTGTTCCAAAACCATTACAATGTGATGTCGTAATTGAAAATTTTCAATCAACAGTATGAATTTTTCTGGTGACTAAAAATTATTGTAATAAAAATAATATTCCTATAGATTCTACTCATTAATGGTATGAATGCATCACCACTAATGATCGGTGAAGATCATGATCGATTTCATTGTATCATTCGTGGCCATAAACGTATTGTTCTTGTTAATACATTTAAATATCCTGATGTTCGCAAAGTAAGAACAAAAATATCGATTCGAATTCATCATTGCCGTTAAAAATTAAATCTTATGATTTGTTTTTCATAGACGATTCTACCAGAGAAACGAGGACATCGTGGACCATCGATTAATCCAGACAAGTAGATTACTTGTTTCTTTAATGCCTATGAAAATGGCCGATTTTTATAGAGTTGATCTCGATCAATTTCCCGCATTTGCAAATATCGACTATCACGTAGTTGATCTAAAATCAGGTGATTGTTTATTTATTCCAAATTCTTGGCTGTTTCAAGAGCGTACACTAAAAAATACAATATCAGTTATCTATAATATTAAACATCATCAAGCATTGCATTTGAATGTCGATCAATTGAATACTTGCTCAAACTATGATCCAACATTTACACTTGATCAAGTTGTTTGGCCGGCTGAACCTCAAACTTTTGGGTAGACGAAAACTAGAAATTCATTTTTTTTACTATCGTTTTTTCTTTAGGGAAGTAATAATGAATCTGATTAATTCAAAAGTGCAAGATTTCGACAAATGGCAAGATGCATTTTCTAAAGTAATAGAATAGTTTTTCATGTGTGATAATTTTATTGATATTGTTTACTCTAGCATTTATCGTTCGATTTGGCATCGGATTCAACAGGATCAGCTCTGTTCGAAGAGGTCTTTGAATTAAAATTATAATACCCTTTAAAAAATGCCTATGCTTTCATTTCTTTAGTTTTTTGATAGTATTGATATCGATAGTGATGGTCAAATAACATCTGCTGAAGTTGGTCAAATACAAGGAATGGTAAGAAGAAGAGAAGAAAAACAACCGTTCAGTTTTTTTAAATGTAAATTTGAATTTTTAGCATCAACATCATATCACTGATATACTCTTTGAAATAACAAAACTTATACATAGTAGACAAACAGCAAATGCATCTACGCCTGTTGATTCCAATGATACGCAATCAACTGAAGATGACGATGAAGCTGATAAATCTGATTTATAATTCTTTTTTTTTATAACTGAAACTAATTTCGAATCTCAAACACATCTACTGTGATTAAATTTTTACTACCAACTCTTTTTTTCTCCATTAAACAGTAGCTCATTGACAGTCTTTCATTAGATTTTTATGTCTGATCGTTATTTTGAAAATCATTATACTGATTATAATGGCGAAACTTATCTTACTTCAAATAATCAAGTGCGTTATTCTATTTTGTTGATGTACGTTAATTCATTGAAACGATTTTTTATTGTCTAGTTAATTCCAGAAATCTATTCAAATGTAACTCATTGGATTGAACATTATATACGTAAACTTGAACGACATATTGATACAATAGATCGATCTGATGGATCTGTCTATACTGGCAGTGCTGGTATCAACGTTCTGTTTATAATTTATATCTTTCATTACGAAATTTATGATAGGTATTGCATTGCTTTATTTACATCTCGCAATACTCTTTCCATCGGAGAAAGATAATTATAAATCTAAAGCAAAGATGTTGATTGATTCAGCTTTACAACAAGTTAATGGTAAGATTTCGATATGTGTAGTTTAAATTCAAAACATTATATAAAATTCAGGTAAACGAATTTCATTTTTGACTGGTGATCCTGGACCATTGGCCATTGCAGCAGTGATTTATAATGATTTAAACGATGAAAGAATGGTGAATAAATGTATAGACAAGTAATTGACTTCCTACTTTTGCTTTGATTTTCACTGTGAACATGATTTTAGAATTATATCGATGAAAGATGATGCAGCCAGTGATTCAAAGCCAGATGAATTTCTTTATGGACGTACGGGTTATCTGTATTCATTAATATTTGTTCGGAGAAAAATTCGTAGTGATATAATTGATAATCGAATTGTTACAGAAGTAAATAAATTATTCAATCAATCAGTCTCAAACCCTTGATTTTTGTATTAATAGGTATTTGAATCAATCATTAAATCAGGTGAAAAATATGCTAATGAAACACGTTCGCGATCTCCATTAATGTATCAATGGCATGATAAAGAATACATGGGAGCAGCACATGGTGTTTCCGGAATTATATATCTATTGCTCAATGTACGAAAAAGCAAAATTTTCGTGTAGAGATTATCAAACTACTTGTTAGAATTTATTGACAGGTAGCCCAAGATGATTTGTGCTCGAATCTTCGTCCATATGTTCAGTCGCATTTACTACCGACTATTGAATTTCTTACAACGAAACGACTGCCAAGTGGAAATTATCTATCATCTAGTGATAGTACAACGGATAGACTTGTTCAATGGTGTCATGGAGCAACTGGATTCGTTTTTTTATTTGTTCGAACCTATGAAGTAACAGTGAAATTGCAAGCCTGTTGATTGGATTTCGTTCATATGTTTTAGACAACAGGCAATAGATCCTATTTAGATCTTGCTACAACGGCTGGTGATGTTGTTTGGCAGCGAGGACTACTAAGAAAAGGCTATGGACTTTGTCATGGGATTGCTGGCAACGCTTATGTTTTTCTTGATTTATATCGTGCAACAAATAATACGAAATGGCTTCATCGAGCAATTAAAGTTTGTTGTTTTTAATACGAATAGCGTCAGTTTTAACATTATATTTTTCTAGTTCTCTGAACATTGTTTGGACTATGGCAAACATGATATTTCAAGAACACCTGATCATCCATATTCATTGTTCGAAGGTTATTATAACAATTTTACTAAATATAAAATAGAATCATGATGTTTTTTAGGTCTGTCCGGCACAATTTATTTTATGGCTGATATTATGAATCCAAAGCATGCACGTTTTCCAACATTGATATGAGTCAGACAATGAATGAGTGTCAGTGCCCATTTTTAACGCTTATAATTCAGTTAGTAAACTTTTCCTTTTTCTGTCACTGATTCTTAAAAAGAATGTTTCTTGCGACCTATTATTCTTGTGTAAACGATATTCATAGGAAGTACGATTTTTCAATAAATTTTAGATTGATCATGCATTTATTTGGTAATAAATTTTATATTATTTTTATATCAATATGGATAGTTGGACTTTATATTATTTCGACAACATTTCATTTTACGCCGAGTACCGATAAAGGATCTAAAGATCGAATTGAATATTTACAAAAGGAAGTCGATTCGTTGAGACAAAAACTTTCTGGAGTTCAATCAAGGTAATTATTGCCTGAAAATTTATTATTGTATTCTTAAAAACAGATATTCTTAGTAGTAATGAATGTGAAGAACTTAAAGGCGAACTTAAACGTGTCAAACGTCAACTATTGGGGAAAACGGATGGTGCAAAAAATGTACAAAGTATTTATATTCAATCTATAGATATACCATGATTCATTTATTTTTGAATTTCTAGACGGACCTGCATTAGAATATGAACAATTACGGCGAAAAATTGAAACACAAGCACGTGAATTATCGTATTTTACTACTAATCAACTAAATAAAATCTCGGAAAAATTGTCAGATGCTGACGATAAATTAAAATGGAAAAATGTCATCGAACGATTTGGTGATCAAAGTAGGTCTGTTCTTAAAGCGAGAATCTTGCTCAATATCTCCACATATTTTGCCTTATGTCACAGATTAATTATTTGAAATTTTTGTTTTCTAGAGTACTTTTGGCTTCCATACGAAATATAACTAACGTTGATAGATATCAAGCATGGCGTGAACATGAACATGAAAGTCTTTCAAAATTAATGCAAGCAAGATTAAACTATTTACAAAATCCAGCGAAACCATGTACAGATGTTAAACGTTTTACATGCGACATTAATAAAGCCTGTGGTTACGGTTGCGAAATTCATCATGCTATGCATTGTTTTCATATTGCGTATGCACTCGGAAGACCAATGATTCTTCAATCAAGTAGGATTCAGTGAATGGGTAGTGATATTTTAGTTAATTACTTCATAGGTGGATGGCGATATAATCCTCGTGGATTTGATCAAATTTTTCAACCTCCAAGTCTCAACTGTAACACATCAATGGCTTCCGGTGCATCCTCTTGGGGTAACGTTAAATCTATACAAATAGAACAATAACATGTTTAGATTTCTGTAGATGCTTATAAAACAGCGGATGTTGTTAAGATTCCACTGATCGATGATATTCAGCCACGTACAGAATTTATGCCTATGTCAATACCTGCGGATATATCTAAAAGACTTATTCGTTTGCATGGTAATCCATTTGTTTGGTTTACCGGACAATTAATGAAATATCTACTGAGACCACAAGACTGGTTAATGGAATTTATGAAGAAAAAATTTGAAGAAATTAAATTCGAAACGCCAATTGTTGGGTAAGAAAGAATTGCCTTTCTGGAATTCTTTTTTTTATTGAAAACTACTGGTGCGTTGTTTTTCCTTTAACTAAAGAATTCATGTACGACGAACAGATAAAGTTGGTACTGAAGCAGCATTTCATGATATATCAGAATATATGAAATATGCCGAGGATTATTATATTACGTATCAATATCAAAATCCGAATTCGAAATTTATTAAACGTGTTTATTTGGCAACGGATGATCCATCGGTTTTCAATGATGCTCGCACTAAGTAGGAATAATTTGCTTTTCGGTGCATCACACTTTTTATTTGCCATTAAAAAAAGATATCCTGATTATGTGTTTTATGGCGATACAATTGTGGCACAATCGGCTCAACTTAATACAAGATATGGAACAGAATCATTGAAGGGTGTTCTACTCGATATTCATTTTCTTTCATTATCCGATTATCTTGTTTGTACTTTTTCATCACAGGTAAACAGACTTACAAAACACTGATTGAAAATAGAGATTCTCTCGAGTAGTATTCTAATGTTGTGTTTAAATTAAGATCTGTCGCGTTGCTTATGAAATAATGCAACAGCGTGTTATTGATGGTGCATGGCGTGTACAACCGCTTGATGATGTTTACTATTTTGGTGGTCAAAATCCACACAATCAAAGAGCAGTCATATCCCATAAAGCTATTTGGCCAAATGAATTTAGTTTTGAACGTGATCATATTATTGGTACTGAAGGTAACCATTGGGATGGATTTTCAAAAGGATCAGATAAAACCAATGGTCAATCGGGTCTTTATCCATCGTACAAAACGGAAGAAATAGTTAATATTGGGCAAATGTATACGTATCCCGAAATACAAATTGAGGAGAACGATTTATAAGTTTCATAAGAAAAAATTCCATTTAATTCTCCATTCATTCTCATTTTTTTAGTTTTGGTCTATTTTGTTCTTGCTTGTTGTTATTATTATGAATCTTCTCTCTATCGATCTATTACTGTTAAGTTTTATAAGCATTTTTCTTTTTTCAAACAATTTTTTATTTTATTTTATTTTGTTTCATGACTATTTTTTCCTCATATAGAAATCAACGTACACACTAATGTGAGCATTACTACAATATATTTTATTCTATTAGTATGCTCAGTAAATAGAACATTTCTTACGTGTCTAAAACTATATGCATAGGAAAAGTGGCAGCAAAACTAGAAAAGGCATAAAAAAAATAGAAGTTTAGTTTCCAAATGTTCACTTTGGACACGGTCATAATTTCTATTAAATAACGAAGATAAACTTTATTTTATTATTTGTCTATTAATCGATAAACTTCAATGTCATTTGTTTGAAATTTTGTGTGACCAGTAAATGTGAGAGAACCTTGATTGCTTGTGTCATTGCAGAAATGAGGAAAACCAAAAAAGCTGTTTCTCTTTGTTTGACTATCACTGCCAACAAAAAGATCGCATCCACCACCAAATTGTGGACCACAACAAATTTGAGGAAAAATAGCATAGGCTGGAAATTGGACTGAATATTTTGTTGGAGGAATCCCATGTGGATTTGTCAGGGTGAACAAAAATGGATTATTCGAATCATGAATGTATTTTCCTGTAGGACTTCAAGATTCAGATGTATATCCACCAAACAGATGCTCACCATCTTCTTTTGATTGAATAACGGATATAGTAGGTCCTTGATTCTCCATATCGTTTTCGTTGATATTACAATGAAAATAATCAAGAGTTTCAAATCGTTTGCACAATTGTCGGCATTGCTCGAAGTTGTTCTTAATATCTTCAATTTGTTTGAATGAAGCATCGCTGTCATCGATTAGATCTCTCATTTCTCGACCTAGAGCAACAAGTTTTTCCATACAATTTTGTTGACTACAATCGATTTCATTTTGTGACTGTTGTTTTTTCTCTTCGTATATTTCATCTATACGTTTATGAGCTTTCTCTTGCCATTTCCCCAGTCGCGTGAAAGCAGATTGAGTACGATCATGTTGTTGTACTTGATTGACAAGTGAATTCAATTCATCAGTAAGAATAATCAGTCGTTCGTTTACTAATTTCACATGTACAATATAATGTTTAGTGCAAAATTGTGCTTGACAATGATTACATAGAGTATCAGAATTTTTCTAACCTATTCAAATGATGAATGAAATGATATATAACATTTAGGCTTCTTTTTTTCTTCTAAACTTATCGTCAGTCGAACAACCAAAATAAACCTTAAGTGACGCTTATTAGTATTCTCGGTATTTACATTTATTCAGCTACCTCCTACTTGTTTTTGTTATCACTATATTCTATTCATAGTCATTGATCGAATGAAACACCGTTCGTGTAAAGCAAGTGTATGTTCGTGAGCGTCATCAAGCATAAAGCTTCAAAGCTTTTTGAAGTGAATTTAAAATAAAATTTTCACTGGGCACCAATGGCGTAATGTGTTCTATATATTCGTCAGATCTTGTTTGTATGTATCCATTATTGTTTTGGATCCGATAACCGACAGAGAAATTGAAACAGACGAAATACAACTGTATGAAAATATGATTGATTATGTGAATAGCATTCTGTTGCTTTTCATTTATTTGTTATAAACAAACGCAGCTAAACGCATTAATGACAACAAATACAATACTGTTATGTTTAGATTAATCGATAAACTTCGATATCATGTGTTCGAAAATGTTTTTCACCCGTAAATGTCAGCGAACCTCGATTTGTTGTGTCATCGTAAGAGTAAGGAAAATGAAAAAAACTATTTCTGTCTATTTGACTGTTGTCACAACAATAAAGATCGTTACCAGCGCCAAATATGGGGCCACAGTTCATTTGAGGAAATATAGAATATTTTGGATTTCTGACTGAGTATTTTGTTGGAGGGATTCCATGCGGATTCGTCAGAGTGAACAAAAATGGATTATTCGAATCATGAATGTATTTTCCTGTAGGACTCCAAGATGCAGATGTATATCCACCAAACAGATGCCCACCATCTCTTGATTGAATAACAGTGAGAGTCGGACCTTGATCATCACAGTAATGATGAAAATCAGATGCGGAAAAGCCATCACGGGATGCTTTATATATCAGAGACCATTTTTGTCCTTTTTTTTCATAGAATTCATTCAGTTTCAAGTGATGTTCAAGTGATAACAGTGTACCACCACCTGTAAACAAGTCGTCATTGAACAAGCCGATCTCCATGTCGTTTTCGTTGATATTACACTGAAAATAATCAAGAGTTTCAAATCGTTTGCACAATTGTCGACATTGCTCGATAGTGTTTTTAATGATTTCAATTTGCCTAAACGAAGCATCTCCTTCATCAATTGATTTTTTCACGTCGTGTTCTAATTCATGAAGTTTCTTCCTATAATCATCTATCGTTCGATCTAATGCAATTTTTAATTGTCGCTTTTTCTTGTCACAAATTTCGTCTATTTGTCGATGCTTTTCCTCTCGCCATTGTTCCAATTGCTCGAAAACAGGATTCGTAAGATCATACTTTTGTGCTTTATTTACAAGTGCATTGATTTCATCGGAAAAAGCAAAGAGTTCATTGTTTGCTAATTTTACATGCTGGATATAATGTTTGTTGCATACGTGATCTTCGCAATGAACACACAAAACATCAGAATTACGTTTGCAGGCATCAACAGAACATTTGTAAGAAGTCATTTCAATAATATCTACAACTCAAGAAAGAACCATTCTAAAATTATAGTTTTGTCATTAAAAATACAAATGAATAATAATAAGTAGTTGTTGCATGTTGGTCTGCCACTTTGAATATTTGACTCGATAACTCGATTTAGAATATGAATAAAAATTGATAACAATATATCTGATTTGATTTGATTTAATACTCACGCTTTTGGCGTTGATTAATGCATCATGTGTGAATAACGGTCTATTCTAAGGTAGACTAAAAGCTATGCAGAAGGTTTGCTTGTGATCATTTTCTACATAGTCATTGATCAAAATAGACGCCATTCATGCAAATCAAGTGCGTTGCTCCGAAGCGTCATCTAGTGAAAATGCAAAATACAACTTGTTTTTAGTTCTATTTCTTCATGGTCTATTTTTGCACTATGTTTTTGATCATTGGAACTCTTTTTCGAATAAAAAGATCACTTCAAAATCTTGATTGTGTAGGTCAATTGCATGACTTCTAAGTACTCGTAAATAGCATCATGTGGCAACGAAAAAAGTATCTCCTAAAAAAGATTTTCAATATTTATTTTCTAAATATAAAATTGTGAGTAGAACACTTGAATACTATACAATAATATATTTTTACAAGTAAAACAAAAGAAGCAGAAGGGCTAACTTAGTCTTTGCAACCTTTTTTTCTCTTATAGCAATAATTTCTAATCTATATAGTATATAAGTAAAAAACATGATTATAAAAAATATATACTCTTATTCTAACACGTTTTTTTTGTTAAGTTTCCATCAGTCGATAAACTTCGATTTCATTTGTTTGAAAATTTCTGGTGCCGGTAAAAGTCGCTGAACCTCGATTAGTTGTATCTTTGTATGAATGAGGAAAATTGAAGAAACTTTTTCTGCTTATTTGGCTCTCACTACAAACATACAGATCATTGCCACCACCAAATATTGGACCATAACTACTCTGCGGATAGATCGAATAGTTTGGAATTAGGATTGCATATTTCGTCGGTGGAATTACATGTGGATTTGTAAGCGTGAATAGAAATGGATTGTTAGGATCTAGAACATATTTTTCTGTTGGATTCCAGGAAACAGATGTATACCCGCCAAATAGATAACCACCATCTCTCGATTGAATAACAGTGATGGTTGGACCTTGATTAGCACAACACCGATAAAAATCCGTTGCAGAAAACCCATCTCGTGTTGCTTTATAAATCAGAGACCATTTCTGTCCTTCTTTTCCATAGAATTCATTCAGCTTCATTTTATGTTCAAATGAGAGCAATGTACCAACACCGGTGAATAATTCATGATTGAATAACGTTATGTCCAAATAGATGTTTGGTTTATTCCACCCAAAATAACCCGGCGATTCAAATTCTTGAGACTGTCGTCTATATTTTTCAATAGCGTTCTTAACGGCTTCAATTTGTTTAAAAGAAGCATCGCCTTCGTCTATCAGTTCTTTTACTTTACTTCCTAGTTCAAGAAGTTTCTTCAGCTGATCTTCTTTTCGTTGGTCTAATTGAACTTTTAATTGTCGTTTCTTTTCGTCACAAATTTCATCTACACGTCGGTGACTTTCTTCTCTCCATTGTTCAAGGTGTTCGAAAATATCAATAGTAGGATTTTGTTGTTGTATTTTATCAACAAGTGAATTCAGTTCATCAGAAAAAGGAATCAGTTCCGCATTTGCTTGTTTTACATGTTGAATAAAATGTTTAGTGCACACTTGAATGTGACAATGATTACATAGAATGTTAAAATCACGTTTACAAGTATCGATAGAACATTTTAACGTATCCATTTTAGTTTTTTATGATATCTATAATTAAAAACAAAGATCATTGTAAAGCTGTGTTTTTTTATGATAAAAGCCTCCGAGGAAAAGCACTATTGTTGTTTATTTCTATTGATCACATTAATGTGTTCGTGTCTCATGTAGATCAATACGGTCTGAAAAATGTAAAATTACTAAGAATAACAGTTTCATTTCCAGTTCACAAATAGGAATCAACACGAGTTTGTTATGTAGAGTCCCATTTCGTGTTGTGAAATATAGAATTTAGTGGCTTCCGTCAAGAAAGCCTATTGAAGAAGCCTACATCTACTATGTACATCTAGCAAGTAGCCATGTCTTCTCTCTAGAGAACGCAGATACTTACTTGTAGTCACTGAAGACTGATGATTCATCAATTTTAAAAGTTTGACTAAACTTTTCCACTAGCAAGTCGAAGAACTCAGTTCAAATGGTTTGAAATATGTTAGAAAAAAAAATCTTTTCGTGTATTAAACATTAGTAATAAAGCAACTATGTACGTCTTACAATCGTCATTGACTCGAAGACTTTGCATTTAAATTCTACAAACTATTATATACTGTTTCATTCTACGCTCGATCGATCAAACAAACCAGGTAAAAGTAAAAGTATGTTACTTATGTGATGCGAATAAAAATAAAAATAAAGAACTGACTTAGGTATGTTTAATCCGCAACAAACATGTATGTTTTTAGTAATACTGACTAAACTACTGATCACATGATATGACACGTAAGCAAAAGCTTCGTCATAGTTAATCCAATGTTTATATCTAAATCTAACAGTTGATTGAACAAACGAACAATCAATCTAGAATAGAATCAAATGCAGATAACGATAAATATGATCAGCTACAAGCGAACGTTCTGTTCATACAAAAATATTAAAATAAACAGATAAATATAGCGAACTTGATTTATCGAAGATTGCTATTCATATTTTGTGAAAAATATGAAGAAATAAATTTAATTTCGCATACCAATCAAACTATCATAGTCCACGTTTGTAAATAGTATCGGTGAAATGTGCACCAATAAGTACAGGTGAGAATATTATCAAGAAAAAAAACAAGAAAATAAGTTACCGAAGTTAAGTTTGATTTCTATGTGAATGCGGATAAAAAGAGAATACCGCAGGTGATTTCACAAAAGTAAACGTTGTATTTATATACTTCTATTGCTCGAGGGATTGAGGCAAACATAAAAAGTAGCACGTGCAGAAAATAGAACACTATAAAAACATCCTCAGAATAGGGCACACCTACTTCGAGCTACTCATTCGGAACGTTTTACATCATGTGCGCGATTCATGTTGGTCATAGCTTCCAAAATAAATAAATAAATTGTGCATTCTTACCATTGATTGGTGCATTAACTAGAAATCTTAGGCAAACTTCCGATGAATTCTCAATAACACGCTATTCTTTTTCCAATGGAGAACAGTTTATGACGAAGCTTTTCTTCTCGTTCTCTTTAGTAATCAATGGGCAAAATAGTGTCTTTCGAGTAAAGTCAGTCTATTGATTCGAAGCGTCATCAACTGCCAAACTGAACTTCACTTTTTGCAATGAATTTTAGATATTATCAATTCAGGGCCAGTTTCTCCCATTTGTTTTATTTCATGACTGGAAGTATTATTTTTCTCTTTGAAATTTGAAATCACTGACTTTTGCAATTAGTCGAAAGCAACAATGTCAAACGTATTTATCAACATATATACTTGTTAACACAAAAATAGTGATACTTCTCAGCACAGGTGAATCTATATAATGGAAGCAATTTTTTCCCTACTCTCTTCTCTCCGTAACCGATTATAGAATTTACTTTACTCAAGTATAGACGTATTAATAGAACACTAATGAAATATTTTCCTATGCAAGAAAGTAAAAAACACTAAGGAAAAATATATGTTTGATTTTTCTTTCTTCCGTAGAGATTCGTTAGACGCATAAACGGGGAAAAAATCTGATCTCACAAGACATATTCTCTTAGTAAACGAATTTAATTAAAAGAGCTTCAGCCAAGAGTGTTTTTACAAACGTCGATGCATAGTAATATTGTTACACTTCTACCAATCGATAAACTTCAATATCATTGGTTTGAAAGTTTTTCTCGCCAGTAAAAGTCAATGAACCACGATGTGTTGTGTCTTTGTATGAATGAGGAAAATTACAGAAACTATATTTGCTTCTCTGACTATAACTACAACCATACAGGTGATTATCACCGCCGAACGTTGTACCATAATTATGATTTGAGGAAATATCGAATAGTTGGAATTTACGATTGAATATTTCGTCGGTGGAATTACATGTGGATTTGTAAGCGTGAATAGAAATGGATTGTTGCGATCAGCGACATATTGTTATCTGTTCTTGCATCTAATGTAAATTTTATTTGTTGCTTCTTTTCGTCACAGATTTCGTCGACACGTCGGTGACTTTCTTCTCGTCATTTTGCAATTTGCTCGAAAATTCGAATAGTAGGATCATCTTGTTGCGTTTTATCTACAAGTGAATTCAGTTTGTCGGCAACGGCAATTTGTTCTTCGTTTGCTAATTTCGCATGTTCAATATAATGTTTGGTGCAGATTTGACCTTGACACTGATTACACAGAATATCATAGTTCCGTTGACAACAATCGATAGAACATTTCGATGAAGTCATTTTAATTTTCAGAAATATCTGAAATTAAAAACAAAAGCAATATGTTATAGTAGAAGATTCGCAGATTAATAAAAGTCTATAATAGCTTTAATGAAAAACTGTCATAGAACCAAACTATTCATACAAATTATCGCATACCAAAACTAGGTGTTTGGTATTTATACAAGCCATGAACCCTACGTATGAAACTGGGTCGCAAATAGAGCCATCAGAAATCTTTTTTTTCTCAATAAAATTACATGATTGATGTTCAAACATTGAATTTCGATAAAATGACCTTGCTATCTCCAAAATTGAACAAAATGTTTCTTGTTGCAATATTAACTAAATGAATGTGTTCACCATTGTTCTCCCCTCATCACCTATTTCATTCGGCCTCTCGAAAGAGATTTAGTTACAACATTGATAGCATTCAATTTTGAAACACGATTAATAGACGAGTTTGTTTGTTCTAAATTGAGAATAAATCTACTTTCTCTCAGTTACGCATATTTACCAAGGTCTCGATTTAGATTCTTTGTATTATGTCAGCATTCTGAACTGAATCATGTCTGAAATATAGCCATTGATGTTTCTTGTCTAGATGTTAGTTTTACCTATGAGACAAAATAATATTGCATTACTAGTAAGAAATAAATTAAGAAGTACAACGTCACCTACTAACTTTTTTACTGACAAACAAGTATACATTTTTTTGTCAAACGAATTTACTGGAATGTATGCATGACATTGATACTGTTCGTACCTACGAAAAAATACAGGCAAATCAATATAAAAATATTATTTCCACAAAAGGAATGATACGAAAGTAAGAATAGTAATTTCAATGCGATTGCTCAGAAAAGAAATACATGATCTGCTTTTGGGAATTACGCGTTGAATTTATTCAGTTCCACTCCAGGTAAGCCTAGTCGAAAGCAAAATAAGCGAATAGGTAACATAGCAGTGCATGAATTTGTATTCAGATTGGGTAAAAACGATGTCGAGCTCATCATTCGATACATGCTTGAACTCATTTGTCTCGACCGTAGACACCAATCACAGCCAGCTCTTTTATTATTATTTCAGCTACTAGTCGTATCTTCACCTTCATGTAATGATTAATTAAGGTTCTATATTCTTTCAAATGCACAAAAAGGCCTTTGAAGAAAAATTTTCGTCGGCCTTGTAAGCATGGATCGAAATGTAGCATTCGTACCAAGCGAGGATGGTGCTTCGAACCGTCTTTTTTTTCAAGTACTCATCAACGTAAAATCGTCCTTGATAAATGATTATGTTTTCAGATAGCCTATTAGTGACATGTCATATGATTAATGGTTTCATCGCAAAAACATCACATGAGAACGAACTCGGACGTTTCAAAACAACATTTTTCTTTCAAAAATACAAATAGCACTAGGTTACTCAACTGTGAAAAATATCAAAAAAAAACTAAATCTGATGTGCACGATAACTATATGCTAGTATTAATGACATTTCAATCGAAAATATGGATTATTTAATCTCTTGATAACTTTTAGTTTTAAGCTGTCGATTTTGTTTTTCCTCAGCACATATAATGTTTGCTCGGTAATGAATAAATGATGATAAAACGGACGTTAGTGAGAGAAGAATTATTTTTTCAAAAAAACTAATTGATAATAATTAGAATAGCAAAAAGAATTCGTTGAAGTGAACAATAAGTTTTTAACTACTCATTAATGTTCATTTGAGTAAAAACAGATTCGCATGAAAAGCAAAGATTGTCCTATGCATAGAAATGGTCAACACAAGTAATTTTATCGCCAGCAGAAGTCAACGAAACCCGATGCGTTCTGTCTTGGCATGAATGAGTAAGAGAATAGGTCGAATAGTCCGAAATTACAACTGAATACTTCGTTGTATGAATTCCATGTGGATTAGTAAGAGTGAATAAAAATGAATTACTAAGATCCAGAACATATTTTTCTGTTGGGTTCAAAAAAAAAAATAATCGAGTGCTTCGAGCTGTTCAAGTTTTCGTTGATATTCCTAGGTGGTGTTTTTAATCATTTCGATTTGTTTGAACGAAACATCGCGTTTATCTAATCGAAAAGGAAATTCAGTTATTCATTGGCTAACTTTCTAGGAGCTGATGTATAATCTACAGAATTTGACGAAACGAAAACTAGTCGTCGCTTTACTGACACACCCCAAAATTGCTATTTTAAGTGTTAGAAAATGTTGATGATTATTTGTGTGAACAGCGGTGGAAACTTTAAATTTCAGAAACTATTATATGTCGTTTTATATTTAAGACCCTAATGAACTTCTTTGCAATCATATCAATGAACCGCATACTCATCGAATATATAATGTGTATTTAATACGCCTTGGAAAGATAGATTCGGCTGTGCCGACCCAACAAATTCACATAGTAGATAACAATCTACATATGTAATTTTATAAAAGTACATTTTATTTATAAATTTTGATTGCGTGCGGAATTTACAAACGCATTAGAATTCGTCTGTGACGGGTTTGGTTTTTGCATGCAGTGAACTCTGTATGAAACAATTTCTTTTTTCAATAAACTAGTTTATCGCGTGTAAAAATACAAAGCATCATTCAAAGAAATAAAAGCTTAATTCAACAAATTGACAAGGAATATATATATATATAATATTTCGATCGCACTGAAAGCTATACAAAAGTAATGCAAAAGAGCATATTATTATTTAGATGATTATGAATAGCATCTATTTATGCCCTACAAAAGATATCCTAATGAATAATGAACTTTTCTGCTTTTAAAATATGTACTGGAGACCACATGAACAATAGTTGTAAACTATTGAAACAATGGACATTAGCTCTGAAAGGGATCTATTTGATATGAAAATAATTTGCAGTTAAAACCATTGTATTTATTCTGAGTGAAATAGTTGATATTAAGTAAACGTGCCTATCTAAAGTCTCTTCTAGATCAAACAGTGTCTATTGCAATGAGTCTATATTTTAATTTGTTTCATCTCAATCATTTAGTATGATTATAAACTGCGAATATTGCAATAGATTTACGATATTTAATCCCTGAGCACGGGAAGTTAATCTTCGTCGTTCTGATCAATACTCAAGCGTACTACTGACCGTTTCAATCATATGAACAGATATCTGCTCAAGTCAGCACAACGGAACTTTTTTCAGGTAAGGCATTGCTTCTAGTATAGAATGTAGCCCGACTACCTTCACTTGCATTATGGTGCAGCCAAGGTTCATTATTTGAAGCATATTTTTTGTATCTTTCATTGAATAATCAAGGTCATACACACGCCAAGCGTTACATCATCAATTATCAGTTACTACTGGATGCGCTGAGCTGCTTTTTTTTACGGCATTAGCATGAATACAAATGACGAATAACATTAACAGCAATACTGTTGACGATGCAACCGATATCAGTTTTTGATAAATGAACAATCATATAAATAGTTTTTTCTCAAAATATAAATTCAATGTTAACAATTGAAATGCGAAAGGGAGACAAGCGTAGATGAGAACAAAGTACGATTTATTTTCTCTATATCGAAGAAAAATCCATGAACTGAATAATGAAGATTTCTTCATTTCAAAACTATTGAAATCTATACAAATACTTATCTTCCTGGAGACAATAAAAATTTTCTTTTAATTATATTCTTTTTTCGTATTTATATGAATAAGCTATTTAAATAATCAATCAAGATATTTTCATACGTAATTGTATTTATCAAATAAGTGGTTATTTAGTATAGGTATTGTGTTTGCATATAATGGATAAAAAATGCAGAAACATCGAATTTGCATCCGATTACTATGTGTACTGCAAAAACTGAGTAAATTTATATATGTTGTGAATAATACTGAGAGAAAAAAAAATTTTGAAAAAATCCCTGTGGGGGGGGGGGGGGGGGGGGGGGGGGGGGGGGGGGGGGGGGGGGGGGGGGGG